ATGGTTGGAGGGCGGCCCTTTTCATGATACGCGAAACTTGGGCAGGCAAGGGATCTGGGTTACCCGTACAGAGAACAGAGATAAGGGCGTTGCTGATCTGCTCCGCCAAGCAGGTATGGGGGGTTCTTGCAACCTCGAATCAACGAACATACGTTTCACTGCGTCGACATCAGATGCCGAGGTGTGCGGCGCAGGTTGTGTTGTTTTTCCATCAGGGCACATGCTGTACACACGGGTGCTCAGGCGGAGTAATTCGCTCTGCCCTGGTCATTTCAATGCAGTCAGGGAAGCCGGAAGGCTGGGTGGCAAGCCCTAGCAGCCTTGATCGTCATGGACTTGTGCAAGTCCTTTCAACTTTTTTTTAAAAAAGCAGCTTGCAGGGATTGATCACATTTTCGTGAGCGATGTTAGACTTTGGAAGTTTGTTTAAAGATGAAGAATGGGATGAGAAAAGATCCAGGGAATCTTTCAAATTGGAAATAATATTGAGTTCGGACTTGTGGAGACATCGTATCCTTCTCTTTGCTCCTCGCCACGGCTTCTAGGGGTGGATTGGATCGCCGTTCTCCCACTAGTTACGAGTGATAAATAAATCGGACAGCCGTCTTCAACGAATATTTTGGCTAAGAGAGTACTAGTAGTCAAACTTACCAGGAATAAACAATGTTACGGAGACCCTACAGCCAGTAAAGGTACTTTTACCGAGAACGCTGACAAGTGGGTGGGTCTGTCTTCATCGGGATGGGCATCCCACCACACAAAAACCGGTCAAGCCCCGTGGCCGCCGGTTGACCCAGTGCCAATTTGCAATGATACTAGTATCCTCACGAGACTGCCTGCGGGCGTTGCTGCTGCCTTCTGACATGCTCTCTTGTGTCATGTGCGCGCAATTTCCGGAGCCAAAAAGTTTTCGGACAAGATCCTGCAGAGAATAGCTATAAAAACCAATCAACAGCGGTATTCTACGCGCGCATATCCACCAAACCGTCGTAAAATGCAGTAATTTACTGCATTTTACGACGGTTTGGTGGATAGCGTATAGTGCTCTTCACGGCCACTACCACGCGATACTGAGAAAAACCGCTCTGCCTTTTCGGGAAAAGGGGAAACTCCAAACTTCTTCTGGATTGATTTGCCAGACTGACTGACTATACATGGTCCAATCAATTTGGTGATCATTACCCCCGGTCGTATAAGCCGGACCCTGGAATCGAGCGCCAAGATGTACATGGTTCAGATCAGCATATTGGCGAGCCATCCCCCCCCCCCGGGCTGTCGTGAAATGGCTCTTTGCCGCCTATCTACTCCCCTACTAATCGGGCAATCTCCAGGCGGTATCAGTCAGTGTATCCATCGAATCAAATAAACCAAATCATGACCCCCATTTGATTTGATTTGACTCGTTATTTACCACATGGAGTCAAATGGAGTCGAATGTTAGTACTACGTAGTAGTAAGCAATGTTTTTGTGAGGATGGAGGAGGACTGTCAAGGATTTTCATCTCATTCACAACCCGAGTCCGCCAAGACCTTTTATCTGTTCATCAAATTGAACAACCCTGAATATTTATTTCAAAGTCTTGATTTGAATTTAACCAAAGTACGGGGTTGGTTTATTTGACTTCAGTTTGGTCTCCCAATGGACACACAGTGACATTGGTCAGTTGAAGCATATTTCGGATCCTTTTGTGTCACGAACTGGAAATCTATGTTATAAACGACCATTCATTTCCGCAAGCTGTGCGTTTTCCCGACGCTGCATTTCCTGGATAAGAAATGTATCAAACCCACTGTTGCGAATATGCTTCAGTGCAAGCCCGGCCCATTTCGCCGCAGATCATGCCAATTTGGAAAACAATTTGATGATACCCCTGGGCCTTGATGACTAGTGGTGCTGGGTTGGGCTGCAGGAAATCATGCCAGACTTCGGAGTGCTGAGTTGTTGTGAGGCCCATTGCACAATATTGATAGTATTGAGGTGAGACGTAGGAAAGGAAGCTGATGTAAGTGCTGTCACTAACTAAGTTAGTTAGGAGCTAGGGCATGATTCCCGTGAAAAGGTCCCTCTTTGTCTCATTAGCATTATGTCCCAACTCTACATGAAGTTATACAATGACGGTCAAAAAACTTTGCTTCGAAATTAGTTCCTGGCTAAGTTCATATATATGAGCGAAGACTGAGTATACTTTGTAAGATCAGTGTGCTAGGACATGTAGGCATCATAATGAAATATCTCCCTGATATGGTCTTTCCGAAATTGCTTTTAGTGAGCACCATTCGTGCCGTTGGTACCATTGGTTCCGTCGGTGTCCTTCTCCTCCAAACCTTTATGGGTGCCTCGTCTCGGTGCACCATTGTTCACCGAGACCGAAACACCAACCTTGGACTTCATACCATTGGCATTTCTAAGCTTCTGATCCTTGGCCATTCCGTTGTGTGTGCCATTGAATTGCATGGTAGCAATCCCCTCGTACCCTTCAATTCCAGTTGCCTTCTCCAGCCTCTTGGCCAGCTCATCACTGACTTCGCGGAAGATGGCAATCTGTCTCTTCAAAATCTCCTTATTTGGGCACACCGCCATCTTGCCAGCAACGTTATTGACGAAACGTTCTCTGGCGCCGTCATCGAAGACCTTCTCCCACAGGGTGCGTGGGGCGTTGAAGTCCTCGGGACGGATTTCAGAGAGGAAGGAGACGGCGTTGCCGGTGAAGTGGCTGTGTGCTTTGTCAAGATCAATTGTGCGCTCACGGAACCGGATGGGCTCGATGGAGCTGAGGTAGCTGGGACGAGCTCCTTGGTTGAAGAAGGCCATCTGGCCGTCACGCTGGAAATTACCAGGCATGTACCCGGTTCGTGGGGCGTTGACGGGCAGCTGCTGGTAGTTGGCGCCAATGCGGTGGCGGTGAGTATCTGGATAGGAGAAAAGGCGAGATTGGAAGACGGGGTCAGCGGATGGCTCGATGCCAGGCGGCATGTGAGATGGGTTGAAGGCAGCCTGCTCGACTTCGGCAAAGTAGTTTCGAACATTCTCGTTGAGAATCATCTCGCCAACCTTCCGGCGAGGGAATTGCTTCTGAGGCCAGACATGGGTCAGGTCGAAGACATTGATCTTTTGCTTCTCCCAGAGCTCCTCCGCCTCCTTGGGAGTCATAGTCTGAACCTCAACGGACCACCGGGGATAGTCGCCCTTCTCGATGGCTTCAAACAAATCCTTTTGCGAGTAATCTGGCGAGTAGTTGGCGGAATCTTCTTGCGTAATGAACTTAATACCCTGCATAGACTTCATGTGGAGCTGACAGTAAACCCAGTCGTTATTCTTGTTAATGAGCTTGATGGTGTGGCCGAGGTACCCGTGCATGAAACGGTAGCCATCAGGAATACCTCGATCACCCATCAGTATCATGAGCTGATGAATAGACTCAGGGTTCTGAGAGAGGTAGTCCCAAAAAGCAGTGCTGTCGTCCGAGTGGCTGAGATGGGTTTGTGGGTCACGTTTTTGGGTATGAATGAAGTGCGGGAATTTGGCTGGATCTCTCAGGAAGAAGACTGGAGTGTTGTTGGCTACGATGTCCCAATTGCCTTCATCAGTCCTCATCTTCACAGAGAAACCTCGAGGGTCACGAGCTAGATCGTGAGAGCCGGACTCGCCACCGACCGTCGAGAAACGAATCGTAAGTGGACATTTTTTGCCCTTGGCGCTGAAGATATCGGCTGAACAGAGGTCGTCCAGAGGGTCGGTGCAGACGAATTCACCGTGAGCACCACTGCCTTTGGCGTGCACCACTCTTTCTGGGATGCGCTCTCGATCGAAGTGGGATATGAGGTCAATCAGGTGGCTAGGAAGATGTTAGCGAGAAGCCAGATAAGAGGTATGAAGCGAGATCCACAAATCTTGCAACAAGAGCGGACCATTCTCGCCCATTCGCTGTGCTTCATAGGGATGGGGCATGGGGACACCGTTGCTGGTCGTGTAGAGAACATCCTGAGACTTGGTCTGGCGGTCCTTTTCGTAATTGCCATAGTGGTCAGAGGTATGCTGAGCAAACGAGGTAGCTGAAGGCATCTGGATTGGGATTGAAATTGAAGGTCAATAGAAGATGGTTTGGATGTAGATCCGTAGTGAGTGAAGTGAAGTAAAATCGAGTACTTGGGGTTTATATCCAGAAGGGAATCAAAAGGGCAGGAGTGGTGGCAAGTAATGACAGTGCTCTGATTGGGTCGAGGGAAGGTGAAGATGACTTGACGGTGAAGTCCGAGTGACACAAATTGAGCGACTGTTACTTAACCAGGTTGCTGTCTATCCATGACTCCCGGTTCGACCACAAACCCAGTAGTATTGTATCTGTTTAATGGCAAGTTCTGCATATCTCACCCACCACTCAGCATCCTAGAAAATTCTACCCATTCGTCAATGCTCTCCTGACGGCTTCTGCGGCTATCACCCATCAAATGTTATTTGTCATGTGACTGAGGAGGGGCAACTGCCGATTGGCAACGCGTCCTTTCCCCCCACATCTGAGAAGCCCTGCAGCAAGGATCGGAAGCCGTTTTGCCTCGTGGCAAATCAGATGATGACATCTTTGCAACATCGCTCGGCTTCCGGCAGGAAACTTTTTGGCAGTGACTTAACTCGGTAGTGACTAGCGCCAAGACGAAAGACCCCACTCATCGCTGACTCATTAACCCGGTCGTCTTTTCAACCACTTGCCTCAGTCCCTCAGACGTGGGGGCACCAGGGGCTTCATCTAGGTGACTAAGCCATATCACACGTCTTACCGACCGAGGCAATCAACCACCATACTCAGTACATCATGCAACGTGTCAGTGTGTATAGACCAAGGCCAGCGGCATACTATCTTCTGAAGATGAATCTCCTTTACAAGCACCTTCCTAAGAAAGAAAAGAGAGTAGAAAGTTCTAGTGCAAATAAGTAATCATCTCGGGAGCATTTCTTTGTTCAAGCTGGCTACACCCCGCAGAAGAGATGATAGATGGTGAAAGAGGAGATGTACTTTCCACGAAGATTATTGACGACTACTTGCGGGTCCAGAAAACAGAAAGATAACCAAACAGCTATGAAATTGTATTCAAGAATTCTGCCCGAAGCAGCGCTAACAGCTGCGTTTCACGCCCTTTAATAGAAGGAATCTTCATGATCACTTGACATTACTGGTAGAATCGAGTTGCAGCAAATGATCGTGGTTTGTATCTATCAACGTAGGCAGCGACTATCCAGCATTCATAATGTGTCGTAGGAGCTTAACCCTCTACACAGTGCCACGCATCAAGAGCATAATTATGGTTCAAAGAAGCCGAAAGTTCACGCTGGACTCATTTCCAATCGCAATTCACTCTCAAACCTTGCCAGTCTTCCTGAGCATGGCCTTACGATCAGCAAGACCGCTATCGAATGTGTAGAGAGGCTTGAGGGTGGCGTTCTTGTTGAAGAGCACCCAGCGCTTGAACCACCAGGGTAGCGCAGTGCTGATCTGGTAGCGGGCAAATGTGCGGACGGGGACAGCGAAGATGTAATCGAGTTCTTCCAGAGTGCGCTCCTTGGTCTCGGGCACCCAGAAGAAGATCATGATGAGAGCGAGAACATTCATACCACTATAGAAATCATTGTCAGCAATCACCTCAAAGGGCCAAGAAGTGCAACGTACGCATAAAAGCCGAATGCTCCAGTCACACCGAAAGCGCCGAGAAGACTGGGGAAGGTGATGGACAGCACGGCAGACCACCCGAAACACGTGGCAACGGCGAAACCCATGCCCACTTCACGATGCGAAAGGGGGAACACCTCGGCAGAGTATGTAAAGGGCACTGGACCCTCACCAGGTGAGTAGAAAGCTGCGAAGAGGAAGACAAACATGGCTACCAGACCAAGATGTGCGGGGTTGGATCTTGGAATCAGGGCTGACAACCCGGCTCCCAACAAGGTCCAGGTCATCTGAGGGAAGGTGAAGAGCAGCAGACTTCTTCGTCCAAAGGTGTCAATGGTAAAGAACGCGGGCCAAGCGAAGACGAAGTTGACCAGACCAAATCCGAAACTGGCCATCAGGGCGGCAAACTCGTCGAAACCAGCCTCACGGAAAATCGTGCTACTGTAGAAGGCGATGATGTTGATACCACACATCTGCTGTGCGATCATCACGGTCCAAGCAGCGAGAGAGGCACGGCGGACACGAGGAATAGTGAAAAGCTCGGTGAAGCGGCTGAGATAGTTGGAATGACCGATGACCTGCCTCTCGACCAAGATCTGCGCATTGATGTAGTAGAGATCGCGAGCTGCTTGAATGGGGTGCTTGCGCAGGCGGAGGAGCGAGTTATGGGCCTGGCGGAGGCGGCCTTTCTTGATAAACCAACGAGGTGACTCTGGGAAGGAGGGTCAGCTGAACGTACAAAGACGAATGGACCAGCAGGCACCAAACTTACCGGGGCAGAAGAAAATGCCGAGACACAACGGAACAGCCGGAATGAAAGCGGAACCGATCTGGAGCCGCCAGGCGATATCACCAACTCGGTACACAGCCAAGTTTGCACAGAAGCCCAAGAAGATACCAAAGGCAGTCCACATCTGCCAGCTCATCACCAAAGCCCCACGGATGGTAGCCGGCGAGTTCTCGGCAGCGAAGATCGGCACAGTGGATCCTTTCAGACCCATACCGATACCCATAAGCAGTCGAGTGATCAGGAGTTGTTCCCATGTTTGCGAGATCGCACCACCGATCGGGGTCAACAGGCAGAAGATAGCAGAAACAAAGATGGCACCACGACGTCCAAGATATGTGTTGAGAGGGTCAGAGAGCCAACAGCCAAGGAAAGCTGAACCAATATATGGTCCCGCGTTAACAAGGCCAACGAGCCATTCATTGTGTTCACGCTGGTCCTGTGGAATGTCCTGACCAATGGGGATGCCAAACTCGGTAGGGAAGGACAAGTTGGCGCCATTGGAGCCAGTCTGATCCCATCCTCTGTGAAACGGTCAGTTGTGCACCAGAGAATCAGAAGGTGCAAGCTATACTGTACTGCAGCGCCAATGGAGCAGATGATGATGGTGATGTAGAGTTTGCCTGGGTGCCTCCATTTGTTCGTGACTTCGAATCGAAGTGCGTCTTTCTCCTCCGGGGAGATCTCTTCCATTTCATCAAAGCCACCGGGGTTTTGCGCAACGAGTGCACCTTTTTTCAGATCTGGAACGATGTCGTGGAGGTCATGTTCGGCTGCAAAATCTTCGACGTCCTTCATGAGCACATCCCTTGGGATGTCCGAAAGGGGATTGGAGATCCTGGATCAAGTTATTAGCGGTGGTGCACATCATTCAAGCCCTTCGTGTAGTGTCGTACTTTGCGGCTAGGTTCTTGTTCAAGTTGATGGAGGTGAGGGTCCCACGGCGTTCCCGGTCAGGGAAGGCCTCCTCCTGGGTGGATATTTCTTTGTCATTCATCTTGGTCAGTCGATATGGCCCTGAGCGACAGTAGTGGAGAGGCAATGATGGTTGGCAAAATTCGAACAAGTAGAACACGTCCCATGCGACGACTCATATATGCACGAAGCTACAGGAAGGATACCCGGGTTCATGGATCATCAAGGCGAACCGATCACGAGGGGGTTGGGGGGGTGTGCGCTTGGTGACACAAGCAAGGGGGTCGCTCATCTCTACGTGAGGCCAGGACTTCACTGCAGTTGAAGACATCAGAGATAGCGGCTCGATGTAGCGTAGTTGTGAGATTCCTGTGGTCCGGTTATCCCATGGACGTGACTCCATGGAGGCTTAGTTAGATCCAATGGACGTTTAATCTACACGCTTCTAGAAAACCGCTCATAGTAGCGGTCGTGCAGCTCGCAGCATGCAGCAGGGTTGAGTTGGTCTTGGTACCTGCTTGGCGGTGCTAGCTGGCCCGCTAAGGAAGCTCAAGCATCTGGGCAGAGTAGGCTAAAGGTGCCACCGAGCTGGATGGCATTGTGCATCCGCGTACTACCAGCACGCTGCCCGCCATACGCACCATGTTAGTAAGCGGCCGCTCGACGCCTATTCCTCAACGTATGGAGGGCAGCACGCAGTACCTGGATACTTTTCACCTGAACAGTTGATTGTGCGGTGGGATCGACGATACCGGGACCATGGTCAAAGTGACTCGGTGACTTGGTGACTCGGCGACTTGGTGACTCGGCGACTCGGCGCACAGGCACCAACATCGCATATGTATGGGTTGTGGAAGAAGGTCAATATTACCGAGTAGAACTAGTTGATATAAAATGCCGCATATGCAAGCTGGATCACTGCTAGCAATGATTACGATACCCAGAATGGCCGGGGCGCTGTTTGCCTAGGTGGACAGACAGGCAGACTCCAGAAGTACTCAAGGCGCTAGCGATCCACAATATGCAGTCTCGTCATGACCTGCATGGTGGAGGTGCCGCGATAGAGAAATGCGCAATCTGCGCCGCCCGCCCTTGTACCGAATGACCTTCCGCCAATCTGATATACACCTCGGTGGCGCTTCTTGTATCGTTTCGCACTGAACCCTATGTCGCTTTAGTAGTCGACGCCTTGTCACAGCAAGCGAGATTTCAGTCGGTTCCGGTCAATAGTCAATACTCAGTAGTCAATAGTCAATAGTCAATAGAAAGCAGTCAATATGGGCGGGGAACAAGGCGGATGCATGCATGAGATCCCAAATGTACATAGTAAGACGTATTACCTTAGTACGTAAGCTCCACCCCACTGCCGGTCAATTGCAAGTCTTGCCAAGCCGCCGATCGCGCCCTTCCAGTTCCAGCGCCCTGCACGCCCAGCAGTGCTGAGGTTGCGTAGACTTACTAAGTATTACTACTAGTAGTTAGTATTGCGTATCTCTAGCCACCTTGGCATACGACGCTGCCAGCCTGAGGTGAGAGACTTGCCGAATGTCTCTACCCGCCAGTGATTGATCTACTCCTAGTCGACAATGGTGCGAGATCAAACGGCGTCCCACTCCAATCCCAGCCCATTCCTGCAGTGCCTGCCCGCTGCTAGGCCCGCCTTCTTGCCAGTGCCACTACCCGAGTAGCGTTTGGCCTGACAGAAAGCCCAGCCCCAAAGATGGCAGATGACTCTGGCATCCGAAACAACCTCGAGCATCCGAACAGGATGTTGGAAAAACCATGCACACTAACTAATCAATACTCATGTCAGTACTAGTAGTCCATGTGCCAGAGACATCGGAACCGCATCAAGCGCCGTGCAGAGCTTCACATCCGAGTTGGCATCTCTCTTGGCTAGTACCGCAACATGGCAATCCCGGCCCTCTCACTATCTACCGCGCGCAATCACCTCCGGCCCAAGATTCCGTGTCCCAAGAGCACCTTAATAATCGCCCACATGCTGATGCCTACCTTCGCACGATGCTGACCTCTGTAGGAGGGCTTCACCTGTTCAGTATGCACGACCCTCTCGAGATGTTTGCAGAGCTCGTGATACTGAGTTTCCGTACTGTAAACACTAACCTTTGTCATTGTTGCCGTGCATCTGCTTCAATGTCCACGGTGACTAATCAATCAATGACGGGAGCTCTGGCTGTCACGGTAACACCAAGGCAGGAACTTCTGTGAAAAGGTGCAGCTGCAGCCTTGCTTGCCCCCCCGGGGATTCATGCTTGTGACCAGGCCTGAGTTCGACAAGGAGACATTCCCAGTAGGAGTACAAGCCATCGAGTAGGCGCATTGCAGCTCTTCGGGTCTATCGGGCACAGACCATCGATCGGCAAGTCCTGGGAAAGAAGTTCCACAAGGCTACGTGTCAGCTCGGTGTCAGCTACAGAGCATGTCAGACCAGCAACGCAACTCCCTTGTCCACCGAGATTAGCTGAGCACCTACCGCTTCGCCCAGGACCATGAAATTCTGCCATGGTAGAACCATTTGCTCGAGGTATACTTAGTGTCTTGCCGCTGGCGAAGAGCAATGGACAAAAACATCCTTTGCTGTAATCCATTTGATGCAACGCCGGTCTCCCTCCTAAATATCAAAGGTTGGCATCTGAACCCATGAGCCTATGCTTGATTTTGACTTTGTCGACTGCACCCCCATTGAAATTTTTTTTGACTGCTGCAGCTTTGCTCGGGGCGAAATGATGGATGCCCACGGCGACATTCTTTTCAGCAGCTTGTGTAGCTCCAAATTTGAGCACTTCGCCAGTCAGCTCAAGAGCACTAGAAGCTAGAGCCTCCGCTCCGAAGTGCCCAACCACTGCTAGCGCCGCATCACGCGTCTGACATTGGGAAGAGTGATGGGATTGTTGTTACCCCAAGGTGAGAGATAGATTGGAAGCTGTACCGTCGCTACAACCGATTTCACCGAGGCTCGGACAACGCGACCTGCCAAAGTGTTGCCAACGAACCGCTTCGACCAATGTTCTGTCACGTCATCTGAGGCAGCTGGAACGTTGCGCTGAGCGGTAGCCTGATTGACCAAAGATAAGTTCGAGAAAGACTTTGAGATGTCATCTTATACAACCACGTTATATGAACTCGCGTAGGCGTCCATGTGTGAATTGTTCAGCGATTGACTCGATACACTTTGGTAAGGTGCCCCCTGCTGCTGAGAACCATTTAGCATGGGAGATGACAAACTTGTACTGGGGTATAGGGCGCTAGGTATGGCGATGTTGAAAAATATGCTTGAGATGATACAGTAGACGAGTAAGAAAGATAGAATTTAGAATCGCATTGGAGCTGATTTGCGCAAATGTAGGTTGCTGCGCTTGATGAAGACGACGGCGGCGGTGGAGGAGGAGGAAGAGGAGGAGGAAGAGGAGGAGGAAGAGGAGGAGGGGGAGGAAAATATTGCTGTGAAGAAGCTGTTCGTTGTGGTGTATAGCTCGGCACATACCGAACATTGCCAGTTGGTACTAGAAATGGACTCGTGATAGGATATGAAGCGTTGTGGAGTGGTTGACGCTGGTGCTGTGATTGTATCTCCTGTGGTGCTGGGGCACTGCCTGGAGAAGGAGGTGGGGAGAAATACTGTGGTGGATACAAGTTGGTCTGAAAGTACCCTGGTGAGGATGCTGCGTAGAGATGAGAGGATGAAGGTGATATTGGATATAAAGGAAATGTGTTTAGATCTTGAGCCAATTAAGTACTAGGCGATGATATTGGATAACGCGGGTTCCGAAGCTGCTGCTGCTGCTGTATTTCCTGCGTATATGATGAGATCTTCCGCCATGTTTCTCATTCGACGTCTGAATATGCACAGTCGGCTGCTGGAGTAGGCAGCTGGTGCAAGCCAAGCTCTTGGTCGGCCTCTGAGGCATGTTGATTGGAAAAGGTAGTAGAAGTCGGCGGTAGACAGTTGACCTCTGCTGATATGCCGCCTGGGGTAGCTGACTTGACGTCTGCAGAAGCACAGTCCGGTGGTCGAGCAGGCGGGTTTTTCGATACAGGCGCTGCTCCGGCACAGGAAGCATGCTCATCAGGTACAAGAGTATGATCTGGAGGTGGATGATACACCTCCGGCGCATCGACGGAATACCTGCACATTTGAGGCGATGCCATCTGCCTGCTCGCTGACACTAAGCGTCGAACGACCAGTGCGGTTGCAATGAATCAAGTTGTAAAGAAGCGTGGGTAATGGGCCAAACATCCAATTACTGGCGTCAGGCGATTGCTGATCTGCGGCCGATGAGGGCTGGTTGAGGGGCAGATCTGAGATCAGCCGCAGAATTCTCGGAGTCTAGGCTCGGCTAGATGGCTGGATAGTACATGCAGTGTTTTGGTTGGGGGTCGAGTAAGGCTGACCATTGGTCACGAAAGCTCTGATTGCAGGTGTTACAGCGCCCAAGCCGAAGTCAGATGTTGCGCCATCATCCGCGTGCAGAAGCACAGAGTTGAAGATCTCAAAGGGTTGATTCACTGTTCAGAACACCCAGGTGCTCTTAGGCATAAATGCTTGCAGAAAGGAGGTGTTGGGGGGTGCAAGATTTTATCTTACACCGCAGTGCGAGGAGGCGCCCTTACTCTTTTGGCTGGAGTTAGGTCGATCAGCATCCCCAAAATCCTCTGCATCTCGTGTTCGATACCAGTAGGCAGAAATGACCCTAGACACGTTGTTATGAAGAATCGTACTCGCCGACCCTCGACATGAGCATGCTAGCTTCTCCTTTCGCTAGGTAGTCGAAGCTTTCCTCGCTCGTAGCTGTCATTGGAGGGCTTGGGCTCGAACCTTGAAAGGCGTCTATCTCTTGTGACTCTTTGACTTGCAATGGCACAGCCCTTTGCCCAACCCATTCTATTGCATCGCCTTGTCCTAGCGGCTTACGCTCTTTCTCCCGCTCGGCAACGGAGCTTTCGCCCGGCTGGCCCAATGGAAGATTACGCCGATGCCATTCTCCAACGAACATCTCATCCGGGTCTGAGTCTTTCCTGACTTTTAGCCACTCTTTCATGTTATCACCATACATTTGTGGAATTTCTTTGCTACTGTCTTCTGTAAAATTCTTGGCCCAATGAGGCCTGCCTCCCAGATGTCGCATCAGCCATTCAAACGCTTCATAATATCTTAGTCGACATGGAGGATCTCTGCCGTAGGGTCTGTACAGCGTTGCATTAAGGTATAGAGTTGGTCCCTGAGCACAAGTCGGGTCAAGGAAAGGCCGTGTACCGGAGGCGTTTCGGCTAGTTGTAGTGTCAGATACACGGACTTCTATCGGACAATGGACCCAGATTCCTTTCGATGGAACAGGTATTTGTGCTATCGTATGGTCGCCATTGATCCAAGCACTTAGCCGTGTGAGTGCTTCAGGACCTTTATCCAGTGGCAGGGCCCACTCATTCACAAATTGTGAGTAAAGGCAATCCATGAGCAACCCTTCACGAGCCGGTTGAACAGCCATGGAAGTAGCTTTTCCTGGCTTGAAACCATATTGCATGCCAAAGACGAACCATTCGACCCAGGGCAGGAGTCTTGGTATATAATGCGACAGAAATAGCAGATTGTGGTAGGTATGAAAACCCAGCTTGCCACCGTAGTAGCTCTTCTTTGGAGGACTTAAAGGTCCGTTGGACTGTTTTGCTCGCCAGATAACAGCTCGCTTCATGTACGGCAGCCACCAGACTCGAGAATACTCGGCAGATGTCCAAAGTGTGGTGTCCCAGGTTTCCAAAACTTCAGTAAGAGGATGTAATGACTGTTCCCAGGCAAGGTTGAAATCTGGCACTGCTGTGAATGTGATTTCGGTGATGATACCAATGGCACCAAGAGATAGGAGGGCTGCACGAAATAGTGAGGGGTTTGATGCGGCACTACAGCGTACAAGGTGGCCGTTTGCTAGGACTAGCGATATGGAGCTGATTGACTGTGACAGAAGACCATGCTTGAGTGAGCTGCCATGAGTCCCAGTAGAGATTGCTCCGGCAATGGATTGATTGTCAATGCTTCCTAGATTGGGAGGCGAAAGTCCCATCTTTCCCAGCTCTACTCCTAGATCGTGAAGACTGATTCCACTTTCAAAAGTGACAACCCCAGTCTCTTGATTTGCTGATAGGATACGGTTGAATTTGTCCAAATTTATCATCCAAGATGAGGTACATGTCAGGTCTGACGGTGAGTGGCCACAACCGACGACGACTAACCGGCGACGACATCTTCTGGCCAGGGTGACAGCCTTTTGAATTTCTTCTACCGATTCAGGCTGAATGTAGAGCTCCGGTCGTGAATAGAATGTCTTAGCCCAGGTATGATGCAGGTGAGAAGTCGACGCACGGAATGGTACGCGAGCATCAAGTTTTGAAAGCTCCGCAGAAACCTTGGGATCCATCCTGACCACGCAGCTTTGCAAAGCAGTACGAGTACAGAAGACTTCTTGGAAGGGGAGCTCTGCAGTCAGCAACGCTTTGTTTGGTCTTTATGAGGCCTGGCGAATGAATGATGAATTACTGCTACTGATACCTTGTGATTGCCGCCACGTTCTTAATAATCCACGCCATAATGAATGCCAAGTCATAGATGAGATGACGCCAACACCCGGTTGGCTACCAAATGGAAGTGTTGACTGCATCAATTCCGAAGATTGTGCATACTGTTTCTGGTTAACATGCTTTGCTGCTGAATCTAGATCTTCAAGGGCCTCAACACCAGAAGATCATCTATTACTGGTACTTTACTACACAAAGTGTGATTACCCAGGACGCCCCACAGGAATTCCACCTTTCCCCAGCCCGGCCGTGCTCTGGCTAGCCAGGACTCCATCTTGGATTGCCATATATCTTCTCCAATATCTAATTATGTACAAATAGAAGACTCTCAGGAAGAGGTTGGTGAAACGTGCCGTTATCTGCTTTTGTACCTGCTTGTCACGCCTGAAATGTGGCCCCACTTAATGCGCCCAGAATGTTGTTGAGCGGAATGACTTGACATGGTTGCTGCTGTTGGCTTCTGGAACCTGTAGACTGTTCCCACTTCCGGAAGGCGGCAGTGAACTCAGGCGGGCCGCCATAGAACGTGATGTTGCAACTGGGTATGAAAGGTCGATCTTCCAGGGAGCTTGCCAGAATACCGTATTCCTGAGCAAACATGACGGCAGTGGCGAATTCTGCTGATTTAGATCCCGCTTCAGCGCCAACATACCTATAGATGGTTAGCTTGCACTTAAGCTCGGAGAGAGAGGCGGTTACTCACACGAAGATGTTGAAGTAAGCATCGAGAACGAAGATGCAGCGACTATCCAAATCCCGGTGACAAAAGGGATGGATTTCCACTGCGCTGGCCTTGGTAGCTTTAGCAGGAGAAGAGCCCCGGCGGCTCCAGAACCCCGACATGCCCTTGCTCTGTTCCAGCTCGATGCGAAATAGCCGACATCCGTAATGGTTAGATCGCGATCTCAGACTCCACTGTTGAGATGACATCTGCGGGTGCATAGTACCGCCGAGTGACTCAATGAAGCTTGTGGGCTCCTCGCCTTCTTCTACTTCCTCAATCTCACCAGTCAGGCCGAGGTCCATTCCGATTAGTCGTGCACAGCCAACCTCGTCTGCGCCGCTCCCTTTGCCCTTCCAAAGGTAAAGTTTCCCGAATTTGGCAGATATGAGGTACGGAAATCCAGAGCACAAACTAGCAGGGTCGAGATCAACTTCGTCAAATGCCATATGACCCAGATGTCTTCTCCCACAGAGCATGTAGAGCGCAGAAGTCCGCGATCGGCGTGTAATGACGATCCCACCGAGAGCTTGGTAGAACTTGGCAGGCTCTTTCCCCTGCCTCAACAGCTCGAGTTTGGCAGTGTTTTCTCTTGCTTCCTTGCGGCAAAACAGCTGAGCATCTTCCATGGCCGCTTCGCCAACGCCATCGCCGGCCCACAGATATACTTCGGTGGCCACAGACCCGGCCAATGATTCAAACGAGTGAACACACAAATACATGCAGTCTTCGAAAAGAATATGCTCCTGCTGAGGAGGAGAACTTTCCTTCCTGCCATCGGCGTTGATCTGCCAAACCTGGGTTCTCAACACTTTCCTCTTGCCTCCAACACCCGCTCGATTCAGAATTGTAGTTTGAGCATCAATCTCAACTTTATCGCCGATCTCGGGCTTCTCATTGAAAAACTCAGCTAGCAACTCAGCAGCTTTGGAATATCCTTGTTGAGACGGTACTGGCTCTAGGATCCCAGAAGTGCCCTTGGCCTGAGCTGAAAACGAAGACTTCTGTGCATCCAAAGCCATAGTAGACTGTTCATCAGGAGGAGGGGTCAATTGTGAATGTGGAAGCTGAACTGTACTGGAGTCAAGCTTCAATCCCAGCCCGCTAAGCGCTGGCTTGTGCGGAGGTGCTGATGTGCCGTTAGGTTGAACATGCAGTGGTCGATTCGGCATTGCTAGTCCTGCGCCTGCACCAGACTTTGAAATAATATTAGAGCTTGTAGAAGCCGAGCTCTCACGCTGTATCAGATCGGTGGGCCGAGAAATAGCAGAATTTGATCCGCCCATCTCCCTACCATCGTCGTAGCTAGGGAAGGCCTGTTTTGAGGTGCGGTCGCGTTGGGGCACTGGCTCCTGATTCAGTGTCGTGGTAGTTACCCTGCTGGTACCAGTCTGGGCCGATGAGATCTTCCGTAGCGTTGGGGATTTTTCCGCTATAGCGGGTTTCGGCTTATCTTTCACATGGGCCTTTGGCAATAGGTTCGTTACTGCCTCCTGAACATGTTGGCCGGCTTGAGGGGAAAACAGCTGTTTCTTAGCGGTAACTGGTTGGACGACCTGGTCATTTCGATTGATAAGATCGGCAAGCGGTTGTGCGCTGACATTTACAGCCTGTCGCCCGTATGGACTGTATGTGGTATCTTGGAATGCGGCATTCTTGACCGGCATCTTAGACTTTGTTTCGTCGAGCATTGCCCCAAGCATACGTGACTTATCTGATATGCTAGAGGGGTCCTGCGGCTTAGCGGAAGCACAGGCTGTATTTGGAAGCCTTCTCTTCGGGCCCCTTGCTCTTTCTTTCGTCATATGAGTGAGTGAACGGGTCGTTGACCCAGCTGGCTCCTCAACCGTGGACGGTGGCCCTGCATTTCTGGCGGAAGACACATCTTCGCTGGACTCGTTTCTACTGCTCGCTGTTGATATCGGACCACGTGAAAGGATACCGGCTAGACCAGGATTGAGGCGACTTGCTAACTTGTTCTCCGTTTTGCTCTGGACACTTTGCTCCGTTGCTTCTGAAGCTATGCGTGGGTGCTTCTCCAGAGCAAAAGAACTGTTGACGGTTGCTGGCTTGCTTGTCATCTGAACTGCACTCTTGCCAATTGGAATTGGTTGGACAGCACTAGGGGATCCTTGTTCCTGCGATTTTGATACAGGACCTTCACCGTGGAGGTTGCTTGCTACTTTTGAAGGCTGAAATGCAGCGTCAACTGAATGTGTTTGGGCTTCAGCTGAAGATACGTCTTCTCTCACTGGCTGTGAAGGCAGAGGGTGTGAAATAACTGAAGTAGTCTGTTGCCCAGACCCGGTGGGTGATGCTTGTGCAGAATTGATGCGTTTTTTCAGCGTGCTTCTCTTTGCCAATGCTTCTGGAAGAGTAGACGAATTCTGAAGTGTAGGATGATTTCGATCAGTCTCATTGATAAGCTTTCGCGGTAGGCTAGCCTCTGTCTTCATCGATTCTTTCCTCTTGAGAATACTTTCCTTGAAATCATCAACCCTCTTACCTTTCTGCGGGCCGTCAGTAAGATTGAGCGCTGCCTTGCCTCTCAAAATGTTGTCCTTCAACGCGTCCGGAGCCACGTAGGTCCGGGTCTCTGTCCGCTTAAGCTTACCAAACATATTCTTGAATTCAGGTTCTTTCGAAGTACTTTCCTCTGAAATAAGTCGCGATGGTCTTAGAGTTGCACGGAAGTCTGTTCTCGGAGGCGGCTGCAGCTTTGGCTTTATAGATGGTGGACTTTTCTCTGGAGAGGTTGGCACAGAGGTTGGTATCTCTTCCTTCTTCCCACCAATCGAAGCATCGCCCACCTCTGAGGGGGTTGTGTTCTCAGCTGAGGCCTTTGCAGATGAAGTCGATGATATTCGAACCACAGCAGATGACGTAGGTTGCGTAGATTTAGCCTCTTCTATCATCGGATCCCGTGCTCTTTCTGATGATACTTTCCTTGTCATGACAAATTCGAATCTGTCTTGAAGCCCGTCATTACTCTGTGCGGATCGATTCTCCTCCATAGCTATCTTGCGCGCTTTCTCTGGGGATGCCTTTTTTGTTAGATCAGAGCTGAATCCTTCTGGCAGCCCACTAATACTTAATGGCCGTGTATGGCCACCTGGTGGTGGGGATTTCGTAAGGGGGATTTCGTAAAACCTGCTGGACTTACCATGGTAAAACCTGACGGAGGGCTTTTGACAGGGTCAGAATCTTCCTTGGAAAGTTTTGATCGTTGAAGTTCTGCCATCCAGCTCGGTGTTTGAGGCTTCGGAGACGTGAGTTTAGGCGATTCGGGCCTCGCCAAAGCGCTTTCAAGCCAACTCGCCTTGGTAGGACTCCATCGCTTCGGATCCATTGTTTTTGTAGGACTAACAGGCAGAGCCTCAGAAGACTGCAAAACAGGGGATTTCGGTATTATTTGCTGTTCCTTCGAGCTGATTTCGACTGTAGCAACATCTTTATCAGTACTCGAATTAGAGGATGCTGGAGCTGCCTCCATAGAGAGATTGGGTGCGTAAGAAGGCTGGGCCGTAAGGGTTCCATGGGTTAGCGCTGTCGACGTGCTGTGGCTTGAAGATGGCCTAGATTTTGGCGCAGGGGAGGATGTCGGACGTGGAGATGACGCTGCAGGCTCTCGTGGAGGACTTCTTGAGACTTCAATCAGCGAGGACGAGTACCCCATGCCGCCACGATAACTGGTGGTGGAGTTGCCCCGACTCAACCCAGGCGCTGCTTGAGCACTCCATCGTTTGTTGACACTGTCGGAGCGCTTCATCATAGCACTCTGCACGAATCCTCCAAGACCTTTAGTTGGCGAAGTGGGCCTCTCACGTGATACCTGATCTTGTAACGAAGGTAAGCCGGTACGTTTCACCTCAGGATGATCGGTGCCGAGGGGTTCTGCCGAAAGAACAAACCTCTGTGAGGGTTTGGTAGGCAATGGCGATCTTGAAGTCTCCTGAGTTGAATGCGAAGATATACTGGAGAAGCGGTTACCCCAGCTATTGGTGTCTGCTGCAGAGCTGGCCTGCGACGGAGACCTGGATTTGTCTCGGCTGGAGGACGGGAGGGGCGCCTTTGTGGGGTCCACGCTCGACGCTCGAGACATCCCTGGTAACTGACGGGAGCTGCAGCCATCTTCGAGCTGCGTTTCTTCTCTATTCTTTCTATATGCGTCTGAATGTGCGCCGCGATCAGCAGTTTGCCGAAACCACGAGGGATCTTTCGAATTTAGCGATTGGGCGATCTGGTCCCGCGTACGTTCCTCGTCGAGAAGGTCTCTAGTTGCGGGAGCTGTCTCATCGTTATCCCGAGAACGCGGACGATTTCGAGGAGTAGCAGAATCTCTGGAAGAAGGTCTTTGCTGCCATGACAGCGTGCCGGAGCGGGAGATGGCTGTCGACTCAGCGCTGGAGCTAACCGAGCACTTTATAGGCGAAGGTGGAAGATGGTTTTGAGTACCATCGGGAGTAGAGTATTTCATAGCTTCAGATTGGCCGGAGCGCTCCAGGGTATGAGTCTGAGGGGAAGGGGACAAGATGACTGGGGGTTGAGTCGCGTGATCTGGGGTTGACCCATGATATGATGGAGTCAAAGATGATGGAGAGGTAGCAGGCTGAGAATTCTTTGGCGGAGACAAGGACCTTGTGCGCTCTGTTTCGCGTTCGATGTTTTCAGTGCTGCTCCATTGGCCAGTCAAACACAAGGCGGGACAGACTCACCAGCTCTTCTAGCTTGTCTCTCGCGCCGACCCTGCAATATGTCCTCTTCTAGTTTCCTTGTAGGTTCCTCTTTCTCCCTATCTCGTTTGTCTTTCAAGCTTGCTATTCTCTCCAGAAACGCATCGACAGACTCAGCATCGTCGTTGGACGCGTGCATACTGGGCAATGCAACAAGTCATTCGATACGGGGAATGGAAGCTGAATAGAAAGAGCCGTAAGGACGAAACCCTCAGCATCGGATGTATATTGTTCAATCAATCATGCTGCGGTCGAAGGAAAGGCCATTCATGGCGACCACCAGGCCACATCTGCATGCGGGTCATTATTATTGTTTGTTCCTGCGGGTCGCGTCTACGTAGTAAGTATCAACCGGGTTTGCTGGGCCGAGCGCTTTAACAGCGGCTCAGCCGAGACAGTCTTGGTGCGACTTGACTTTCTAGGCCTCCCTCTGGGCCTTCGGGCCTTGGGGATTTCGAGCCTTCGGGCCTTGGGGACTTCGAGCCTCCGGGGGGGGGAGGGGGATGTTTCAACATCTCATTTTGTCTATCTACAAACAAACAATTTCACATCAGACCTTGTAGCGACTATTTTCTTTTGCACCCTTATGCAATGTAATGCTATGTTCTTAATGTTACAATCATGCTGTCGAAGAAGTTGCGTCATGTCCCTTTTTGATGCTATTGTTGAGCATCGAAAATGACAGGGGCTAGTTTATGGGCCTCAACATCGACTCTCCTTGGAACTCAATTAAATAATATAGTTATTGTCAGACAAAAGCTACATTACACTCCTCTGAAGGCCGCAGTCCTTTTGGCCTAATAGATAACTAGCCCTGTCAAGGCATGTCGCCACCAACTTATCGGGCAGAAGCTGACCCATGACTTCTCTCTGCAGGTGCCTGTATTGTGCTGCGGCTACCATCAGTACAGAAAATATCGATCACGCGCATCTTGTACAATCCATTCCAAGCCTTCATCCAGATTTTGACCGGTTACCGCACTGCATCGAAAGATCACCCACTTGTGGGTGTTTATTGCATCGAGCTTAAGACCCTTCCACCTACGTTAATAACAGGCCTGGGGACTGGTATCAAGGCGGTCACACCTGTCGGATCTCATCGTCACTCATACAACCATCAACGTCCGTTTTATTGGAGAACACCAGCAGACTCGCTCCCATCAATCGCTTGAGAAGCTCATCAACATGTCCATTACTTCGACAAGGCTAAGTCTTACCTCCTCAAGCAGTAGGCCAGACAATTCTTCTCGACAGTCACCAAGTCTTATGCGATCGGTAGCATCCACAACCCAGATTAGTGCATCGGTCTTTTCGAAGTAATTCCTCCAATAAGACCTTAGGGTTTTTTGACCCCCAACATCCCCTTGATACCATATGTTAGTAATCAAGGTTGACTGTGTCCATGTAGCAAGCATTCGCACAAATATTCAACTTGTAGCTGCTATTGTGTCAGTCATTGAAAGGTCATCAAAAGATGGATATGCCACCCTCGGAAGTCAATCGTTTTGATGATAAAGCCTAATGTAGGGCTGACACTTGTTATGTCTTCGTTCATAATGCGCTTCACAATTGTCGTTTTGCCTGCATTATCAAGTCCCCTATGGCAACCCTTGATGAGTGAATGTGCAACACGGCAGACACAAGAGCCAGCTCACAGCATCAAGATGCGCATTTCTTTCTCCTTGAGTCTGGCTTTTCTCAAGACAGACAACATTGTGTTCTGAGAAAGTTGTTATCAACCAAGAATACCTCTACAAGTGGAGGAAGAAGAAATGGTTCCTAACAAGCACATAATCACGTGGTTTCTTCAATTAGTCAGTACGGAGTACGCTACAAAATTAGCTGCAAGTTTGCCTTGTTCACTCAGACTCTCAATGGAAGGCTGACTGAGGCAAAGCTGCCGGAGAGTCCGAGGACAGGATCGTTAAAAACAGCCAGATTGTCATCCATCGAAATGATCACAACACAACGACTAATTGATCAATTTTTAATATAAATTCGGAAGGAGTTAGATTGATCAATTATCTACATTGAATGACACTTAATCTATCCACTCTGATGATATTCAGAAGATAAAAAGTGAAAAGAAAAGTAGTCTTTTCCCATTTCCTCATTTTTTGTATGTCATTCTCAGAAATACGCTGAAGTGTAGATTTGTGAATGATGAGAACCCCCCTATCCAGTCATTCTTGTCCTCAGACTTTGTAAACAGCACTGGCCTAGTCACCACAGAGTCTGAGGAACTGAGCAACTGCAAGTAGTATGTCCAGCTAGTGTTTTACAGCGCCTCCATCCTCTCAACCATATCGTTTCATAGCAAACTTTGCATGCAAAAGATGAGAACGAGGTGAAGGAAACTGTTGTGGAATGCTAGGCAGGACGAACAGTTTCATGGTAATTAAATAGTGTGATGTGGTACTGTGACTTTGCGGCATCCTCTCATTCTTCAGTAACCCGTTGTGTGTACCTCTCAAAGTTTTGTATATCTACCAAGCTATCCCACAGCCTTTTTTGCATGCCGTAGGGATTTGGCAGCCACATATGTTCCATCAAGGCTCTCAACCTGAGCAACAAGTTTTGGAGGCCAAGCATCTCCCTCCCCTGGTGCTCAGCTTATACTGTGTTCACTCTGGGATTCCCTGTACATCTGATGCCGGGATATCAGGAGAGCTGCAAGGCAACAATTTGCCTACACTAATAGATTACCTTAGAGAGCCTGGTCCGACAGACCTCGATACGGAATGCGTTCGGAACGGTATATTCAGAAAGGTATATTCGGCAAAGGTATATTCGGCGTTTGAGTCTTGGGCTCTTGGCATGACTCCGCAGTAGTAATTTGTATGTAGCGTTCCTGAGTTTGTCCAATACCATGATAATCCCACTCTTGCTGCAGCAGAACGTGACGCTAATAACAGAGAGCAGGCCGCTGCTCGAGAGGTACGCCAGGAGGCTCCTATAGCCCTCACAGCTCCTCTGCCTCCTCTGCCTCTTCCTCCTCCGCCTCCGCCTCCGCCTCCGCCTCCACCTCCACCTCCTTCTACAGCTTCTACTAACATGGAAAACGTCCCTGATACCCCCCCTATCAATTTACTACTGTTGCCGCCGTTGCCACTGCTGCTATCGCCACTAGCACCACCACAACAGCTCATTAGTCCTGCCCATCCTCTGACGATAAAGAAGAAAAAGAAGAGGAGGAAGAAGAAGCTACAGATGAGGCTTTTATACCCCCTCCCTCAACAGCGCCAGCAAGAATGACGCAATCAAGAGCTGGCCGCAAGGGAGCCCCTATGATAAAGGCATTAGAGGCTGAAAGGATGCCAAAACGGGATACCGGGCAGGGCAGGGGTAAGGGCAGAGGCAGAGGCAAGAGCAGCACTGGCAGAGGGGCGTAGGGATAGAGCTATATCTGTAACACCACATTTTCTATACTAATTCCTGATTAGGAAGCAGTAGCGTGCTCATTTTACGTATCTTCTACTGTGGTACTCTGTCTCTTGCTCACTGGAGAATGAATGGTCGACTTGCTAGCAATTTTGGTGGAGTAAATCCCGCCAAGACTCAAACGCCGAATATACCTTTGCCGAATATACCTTTCTGAATATACCGTTCCGAACGCATTCCGCTCTGAGATGAGCAATTTAATCATCTCTAACGTACAGAACCACTTGGCGGGCCAACCCACTTGGTTTCTGAATATACCGTTCCGAACGCATTCCGACCTCGATATGACTGGCTAAATAGGGCACTCTTTAGTACACGTAGCTGCCTCGTCTACCATACCAAATTCTGGCACACATCACCTGGCAGGTACGGCAAGGAAATCTTCGATATGTCTGGACGGTTCCAGGGCGATGATGGCTCTGGATACATCTGGCCAGATGAGCAGGAGGTGAAGGGAAGACAACTCCAGCATGAACAATACCACCAAGAGCCCGAGAGCAATGGTACCAATCCCAAAACAGAGCTTGGGGGCCGCCCTACTCGTACTTAGTACTACTTAGTAGTACATGCGCTGGAACTTTGCCTAGTGCTCCTAATAATAGCATACTCCCCAATGTTCATGGAGAAGCCCTACTAATAATATTGCGGAGAGTGAATGCTTTGTCCAATTCTCAGAACAGCAATAGCTTTGCATCCATTGAAGCTGTACAGTTGCATGCTCGTCTCTTGGATGCAAGTGCTATCTGTCCTCTGAGTGAGCCATAAGACTGACTGTTGGCAAACAGCAGGTAGCATGGGCTATAATATGAAGGATATGAATACAACGTGTAGTAGAGATGGTCAATCATTCGACCAATCACAGCACGCTGAAGATGTTCCTACTCAACCTTCAGCAAATGAGAGTGATGGAAATTCACAGATGACTAATCAAAGTGCACGTGCCATGATGGGGGATCTCTTCTTAGAGACACTGCTAACAGTTATTCTAGAACCCAAATACTTCAACTCCCAGATCATCTAAACTGCTATTCGGTGGCTTTGATCCTGATGCATATGGTAAGCCTGCCCACTTGCGCAAAGGCACTCAAGTGCCCACCAGCCGACAAAGCTCCTGGGCATTTCCAACATTGAAGGAACCATCGACTACAACTACTAATTTGACGACATTGAATGGTGTCCGCAAAGTGTTTGATCATTCTGGGAATGGCACTGCTTGTGCTTCACCAGTATATCATTCTCACTTAGGTCTGTCTGAAGATAGGTCCATCACTAATTCGCCGACATCCACCATGGCAGCAAACCAATCCCGAGATAACCAAAATGAGGTTTCGCAAAAGGCACCGCGGAAAAAGGGTAAATGGCCAATGGAGGAAAACAAAAAGCCAGACAATACTGATAACAGTGTGCGTGAAACCCAGGAGCAGAAGTTAGAACGTCTTCAGAAGCAGGAGATCACCAAGCTAGGCGTTAGAATTCGCCAACAAAGCAGTGAGCCGACAACAAGCCCACAAACACTTATTATTGCCAGAAAAGCCAGCTTCAATCTCCAGGCCGCAAAGAATTCAGCTGAAACTCAAAGAGCTACATGCATTGCATCATCAACAGCCATCACTCATGGGGGAGGCACGAAGAATGGCGTCGAGGTTGAGACAGGTCCAAAAGTTGCTTGTCAAATACCCGAGGTTTTATTGCCAGCGACCTCTATTCCTGTACAGACCATGAAGAATGGAGATACCGCACCTAACGATGTAAATGCACATGCGAAAGACTCCCGCCAGGAACCTAAAGATCGTTCGCTCAGATCTTCTACCATCAGCACGAGGGGAAGAAGAGGAGCCCGCTTCAATAATACCAAAAACCCTCGATGGGCCACAAGCGCTGAAGTCAAGCCACCCCCAGCGCCACCGAAAAGCATAGACAGTAATGCTTTTGGTTCGGAAGTTCCTAGTGATGCACAAACAGGTTCCGGAGATAGCCTTGCAGCAATGGAGAATGGAAAGCTATTGAGGAAGAATCGACCGGCTGGCGTAGATGCCCCTTTGGCCGACTGGAGTGGAAATTGGATGCCGCCCCCAGTTGACTGGGATGTGCGCCCACGCTTCAACACCAATTCCGTTGATTTTATTGGAGACCTGGGTCATTGGAAGCAAAAGACTGCTGCACAGTCGCTAAATACTACCACTGGTTTACCATTTACTCGTTTGCCTATGGGTTTGGTAGAGAACGCTGACCTTCACCCTGACGGCCTGAGCTTGGTGGATCCATCTATGAGTGTTAATGTGGACAATGCAGAGGTATATGGCTATTCTGGTGATGCCATCGAAACGATCCAGCATGATGCCAACCTTATCGATCCTGGCATCTTTACTGCTGACTGGGGTAAGCTTGACCTACGAAATCCGGATAACCTGAAATTTCAGAACGAATGTTGCAATGACCTTCTCCGCAACTACAACGCAGCCATAAGCAAAGAACGTGAACAAGAGATCAACCTGAAGCGGGCACAGAAACTTGCTCGAAAGCGAGAAGGACCCATCATCCAGACGCCAAATCCTCACACGCCGCGCATCAACATCTACCTCCGGCCTGCGGTACGCTCCGACATTCCACAGTTGCAAGATATCTACAATTCTTACATTCAGAATTCTGTCCGGCCTTCGGAACTTCATTCCATAACTTATTCTCATATGATGACGCGCTGGACGGATTCGACAAGCGAAAAGCTTCCTTTCATCGTTGCAGCGAGCAAGTCCGCAAAGATCAACCGCGGTGTTGGCAACGCAGTCGAGAAGATCGTTGGATGGGCCAGTGCGACCGATTGGGTCAGCGCGCATTCCATAGAAAGATTCACCGTTGAGCTGGAAATCTACGTACATCAGCAACACCTACATCAAGGTATCGGAAAGTGTCTGATGGACAAGCTGATAGATTCCACCGATAGAGGACATATCGCCCGGAAAGGGTATCCTTTTGCCTGCGCTCCTGAATTACGTCACGAATATTCTGCAGGAGGTGCTCGAGATCTCATGACCTTGGTCATCCTCGTCCGAGGCCTAAGCAAGCCTCAAAACGCTAAGGAAGATGATGTGCCTTGGATCAAGAAGTGGTTAGAAGATGAATGGAACTTCGAGCAGCAAGGGCACGTTTCGTGCATTGGCGCAAAATTTCAGAGATAGTAAGTCATCCCGCTTAGTTTCGGGTTGAGGTTGATAGTCACTGACTCTATGCAAGTGTGAACTCGACAACCTTTGTCCGATCAACCGCTTACAAGCCAAAAGAGCAGATGATTCCGGAAGAGTATCATTGATAGACGGCACTCCTTACTGAGCCTGGACCGGTGGCGCTCCCTTGCTTCTTTCTGTCCATGGTCGCTCACCTTTGCTTTCTCCGCCAACGTCACTTGTAAAGCTTCGGCCGTTGAAATTCCTGGACATCCCGATTAGAAACGTTGCATGGACCCCGATGAGTCGTTAGAGCTGTTCATTTTCCAACCACGCAATACGTACCTTACTTCCTGGGCTTCCTCCAGCGCATTACTTCTCGGTGCAGGCATAGATAGGGTTTCTGCGTTTTGTTATGCGCTGGCTGTTTGGCGTCTGGCGGTCTTCAACGGGCTTCAACGGATCCGGAGAAAGTGGGGGCGTCTGAAAAGCATGACATTTTTCACTCTGAGAGCCTCGTCATTTCATGCAATGCTTTGCTTTGTTCATTTGGTGTGTGGCGTCAGGGTGCTTCAGAGGTCGGCAGAGCCGCCCTCACATAGGATTTGGGCAATAAAGATGCTTTCCATGAGCATAGATCCAATACCACACACCATTCTAGTTTGTTGTGCAATAAGATCCCTCCCTCGAGCTGCCTGCAAGGCATCCAAATGCAGCAAGGGGGGACTCTCGACCTCGCTTCTATAGGCGCAACCATATGTCTTTGTAGTAATGTGTCCCCTCGGACCTTGCTTCTGTACGACGAAACAGTAAGCAAAGTGGCATGGGCCATTTATTGACTACAACAGAATCCTATCTAGGATTCTGTAAGAGCATATGCAAAGCACAGAAGCAATTGAAAACCGAGACCTCCAAACCGAGGATACTCCCTTGCGATGTCCTTGAATTGAGTGAGGGCATTGGAAGTTCATCTTGGCCATAAGTCGTTCCCAGGAGAACGGAAAGGATGAGAAGAGCATACAATAAATGAAGACAAGATCGGTCTAGCCCTAACAGCTGGCAGGGATAGTAGCGTGGGTGCAAGATCGATAGCGCGTTTAGATGCCAGCATCATGGAGGATACCAGTAGCCAAGTCGTCGCTTATGCGAGTAAAGAGCTTTTGGGGTAAGATCGAACGCTGCAGAGACCCCCAGAAATAGTTCAAGCACTGGCAGGCTGATAGAGTTTCCAAGGAACAGGTGGGATCGAGGTGCCCTTTGCATTTTGATGTGCAAATGCAACGATCCAGCGTAGAGCCATGGAGTGAATGATATGGTGCGGATGACTTTCCACGCTTGAATCGGTAGTCTAGGCTTGAAACGTGCATATTCATACATGACTTGCTTTGATTCTCTGGACATCCATTGCGGTATTCGGCTGCGGGACTAATATGGCTCAGACAAGTCAACAAGACGGTCATCAACAAAAGTGTTATATGAAAATGCTGGTGCCATACGTAGTAAAGCTCAGTGATGAACTGGATCCACTAATGACCAAAGCGGACGACTGACTTTGGCTGGAGATAATATCCACCGTGACCAGTGAGCTTTCATTCGTCGCTTGGATTCATAGTCCCTTTTAGGGAATTGACGCGAAAGTCGTTAGCCCTTTCCCAGGCTGCTGGTTGGCAAAAAAGAGGGCAAAGAAAGCGGCGTTGTCTGAAGTTTTGGGGTGAGGATTGGCATGGGCTTGCAAAGCCGGAAGCAAGCTTAACTAGCTTAACTGGAGGGGAGGTGTGGTGCATTATTCGGAGACCCAGACCCCTCCTCTATCCAATCTTCCCACTTTGAAATTTCTCCCTCTCTCTCTTGTCTTTCCTGTTCCTTTCCCTCCCATCCTCAACAACCAGGCGAAGTTCTCCAGTTGGTTGCTCGACCTGCTGCTTCGTTCATTGTCGATAGTCTTTTACGCTTGGTGCCTTTTGTGTCGCGGGAGTTCTTGAGTTCACGTCTCCTAAGGGATTGCTTGCATTGCGCATCTGATCTGGTACGTCTCTTCAGCTTTTGCCCATCTTTTCTTAGCTTTCTTTCTTTCCATGCGGAATCAAAGCGGTGATCTCGAGCATCAAATGTATTTCCACATGTGGTGGCGCTATGCATTATACCCTGCCTGCAGATACTCCATTTCTTATGCATAGCGATGCGCACCACGCAATCGGAGGTCATCACTAGCCAGAGAAGGGAAACCAGAGTCAGATATGACAATCACTTGCTATACATCTCTCAATGATCCTTGGACATACACGACCCGCTTTCCCTTCTGAATACGCTGCCAGGCTCACTGCTTCACCCGTGCTTGTTGCACATTTGCTAATATATCTACACCAGGGCTCCTATCTAATCAGTCCTTGACATTGCAACTGCTTCATGACTGTCCTGATACCGAAATCGTTGATCCTCCTTGTTCAGCTCCAGGAATAAATTTGACGAACACTTTTTGAAGAACGAAACTTTCGCTTTGAGGCCCGCCTTCTCCTTCTAGCGCATAGCATTCGAGCAGAAACACCCTCGGAAAGTTGCGGCTGCGCATTGTACGCTTCAAATTCTCATAGGGAACTTGGAGTCCCCTTTCTAAATTCAACGTCAATTATAAGCTGTTAGCCTTCCTTCTCATTAACTGTTTGATGTCACGTCTGGACCGCAACACAACACGGGCAGCAAGTGCATAGACCATTGAATTCACGTATACCACCGCTGACTAAATCAGATTAGCTTCAATTCAACGATTTTAAGCCAAGACTACAGCATCACCTTTTCTTCATCGTCTGCTTCGTTTCCTCTGCGCCACTTCATCAACAAAGTTGCTACTCAAATCTGCTTTCAAAATGTCCTACCCGAACTACGACCAATACCAGAATCCAGGTGCCCCAGATGGCAGCACTGGTCCTAGCGCACCAACACCTCAAGATGGCCAAATGGGTGGTCAAATGAATGCTCAAATGAGTGGTCAACCAACCGAACAGTCTCAGACGCCGTTCCAAAGTGCCCCCTCAGGTGATAGTACCACACCCGGCGGAGGTCCGGGTGGTGACCAGAAAACGACACTCTGGTGAGTTACGTCTGGCAATTTCTTGTTGTTCGTGCTCTGAAAGCCAGCTTGAAGCAACAAGCAAGAAAATGTCTGATTACGTCTAGGATGGGTGAACTTGAGCCTTGGATTGATGAGAACTTCGTTCGCAACCTCTGGTTTCAGATGGGGGAGCAGGTCAATGTCAAGATGATTCGTGATAAATTCTCAGGGTACGAGTCAAGCGTGCAAAATCTTGAAGCTTGCCTCATTCTAATTGCAGCAGGAATGCCGGATACTGTTTTGTCGACTTTTCCAGCCCACAAGCTGCGGCCAAAGCTCTTACTGTGAATGGAACGCCAATGCCCAACTCAACACGCCCGTTCAAGCTCAACTGGGCTTCTGGTGGTGGTCTTGCTGATCGAAGGTAAGCAGCTGATCTTTGTACTCACTTCCTCTGACTCGACTAATACTGTAGAGCAGCCGTGACGACCGTGGTCCAGAATACTCTATCTTTGTTGGGGACTTAGGCCCTGAGGTGAACGAATACGTTTTGGTCTCCCTCTTTCAAAGCCGCTTCCCATCCTGCAAATCTGCAAAGATTATGACTGACCCGATCTCTGGCATGTCACGTGGCTACGGCTTTGTTCGCTTCTCTTCAGAGGAAGATCAGCAGCTCGCACTGAGTCAGATGCAAGGTGTCTATTGTGGGAACAGACCAATGCGTATTTCAACTGCTACACCGAAGAACAAGGGAGGCCCTGGTGGACCTGGTGGTATGGGTATGCAGCAAGGCGGTGGTGGTGGTGGTGGGCCAATGGGTTATCCGCCAGCCATGGGTGGTGGGCCTCCTATGGGTTTCTACAACCAACAGCAGCCAATGAACCAGTTCACCGACCCTAACAACACCACCGTCTTTGTTGGTGGGTTATCTGGCTATGTGACGGAGGATGAGCTTCGTTCTTTTTTCCATGGCTTTGGTGAGATCACTTACGTCAAGATTCCACCTGGGAAGGGCTGTGGCTTCGTTCAGTTCGTCCAGCGTCATGCAGCTGAAATGGCCATCAATCAGATGCAGGGCTACCCGATCGGCAATTCGCGTGTGCGTCTCAGCTGGGGTCGTAGCCAGAACAACTCTGGTCCAGCAGGAACTCCATACCGTCCAGCACCTCCTCCGCCTATCTATCCGTCAATGGGAATGCCCCCATCGCACCAGTACGGTAATTTTGCTCCAATGAAGGTATTTAACCCGGTGTCCCTCCCAACATTGTAGGACCCTTGCTGACCGTCAACAGTAAAAAGAATCCTAGATCTTTCAAAGCACAAGCTGGAGTTTTTGAGCGACGATTTCTTCCTCTTGGCCTGCTTTGGTGCCTTCTGCTAACATGAGCAATCATCGCAACGGGTTGGCACAGTGCAAAAAGTCATCCTGCAATAACTTTCTTGTCAATGAGGCGGCATTCTATCGGAGCTTTGCAAGACTTTTATTGGACGAAGGTTTATGACGAGCATGAGTAAGGAAGGGGGAGAAGATGATTGGTGGTGGTGGTTGTTGTACTTTGTGGCCCCTTCTCACTCTACCTAGCTAAGTCACTCTAAGATCGGGCTTGCGTGATAATGAGCCGAGAAGTGATAGTAATGCTTTTCTCAACCAACTTGTGTTACTCAGCCAGATGTGGCTGCGATCAAGCGCCCTTCATGGCCGTGGTATGAGGCTTGGGTGGGGGGAATTACGGAGTACTAGTGAACTAGGGGGGAGGATAAATATTGCTAGGCTGGTACTAACGGCAGCTAGTTATGATACAACGCCACACAACCTGAGTGGCATTATCTTGTCTCCTTGGCGTCGGCCAATGCTATATCTGTGAGACCAATACTCTGTAAAGCTGATCAGGTAGAATCTGCTCTAACAAAGGCTCAGATACTCTGTAGACCATGGGATCATAGGAATCTATTTATGCATCCTACTTTAAGTATATGGAGGCCCTTTTGTTGAGGAATGGAGACACGTAGTCATTAGATAATCTGTAACAATAGCTGTTTGGGAGCAACGTTACTAACTCCAGGGCCTTCGGGCCTAACAATGCTTTTGGCCCCCCTTCCTGCCAAAATCTATCCAAAGGATGCACCCTCTTCCCATAGTTGGTCAAAATACAGAAGAAATCTCTTCATACATGTTTGGGAGCATGTCCAGCATTTCCTAGGCACCTTTATTCTTATTTCGGCAGAGCCATACTTGAAGGCTTTTCCTGGTGGCCAATGCTGGGTTAGAAGGTAGCTGTAAAGCTTCAAGCCTCGGGACTGGCCGCCTGCAAGCATGTCACGTATGAGAGAGGCGGCTCGCATTGGCGACTGTAGCTTACCAGAACACAGAACTTACGAAATGCATTGATCATCGACTGCCAGCGCCAGTCAGAAGAGTATGGCATACCTTCATTCGGCCTGCCTTACCAGACTGGTCTTTCATCACCATTCACTATCTCTACTTCATCCTGATGTGCCTCGTGAGCAGCTTGCTATTTCGGGTCACATCAACGCCTTCAAAAAATGTCTCGTACGTTGACAGCTTATTCCTCGTGACCTCTGCTATGACTGAGGCTGGCCTAAATACTGTCAACCTTTCTCAATTGAATACATTTCAACAAGTGCTTCTGTTCTTCTTGATCGTTTTGGGCTCGGCCATCTGGGTTTCGATAGCAACTGTTCATATCAGAAAACGAGCTTTTGAGCAGAAGCTTCAGGAGCTTGCCGATAACAAGAAAAAAAGGCTTCGGCTTTCGAGGTCCCTCCGTACCTCACTTTCGAAGACAGGGAAGGACACAGGTGATCGGAGGATTGCTGCTATCGCTTCTGGAGCCCTAAGGGGCACGGCGCTTGTTGAGGGCGATGGCAGACCTAAAGACGATTGCAACCTTAATGCAGATGAGCATATCACTTTTGATCTGCCTCTTCAACAGAAGGCCGACGATGAGCATGTCTCCTTGGACAACCTGAAGGAACTCAGCCATTCAGCCTACAGAGGCCACTCTTCGCCTCTATCTCTAGATGCTAATCTCGATTCCGACAAGCATCGGCCGGCTACGGCTAGATACGATAGCTATGATGTAAGAAGCCCTGCTGCAAAGTCATCGGTGGCAGATAACGTGCGTATACTTGAGACTCAAAGGTCCCCGGCTCATGGATGCGACATTGACAGTACTACGATACCCCTCCAAAGAAGACACACTCGAATATTCTCTGGTTATGGAGTGGGTGCTCGTCCTTCACTAAGCAGTCATCCCCGTAATGCAACACTCGATATCAGTCCAACAAGGTCGATAGACGATGAGGAAAGAGCATTCGGTAGACGAATGCAGTCCTTGACCTTCTTCGACAAATACCTGAAGGGCTTCAATGGCCTCATTGGTAGAAATTCGCAGTTTCATGGTCTTTCAGAGAAAGATAGAAGAAAACTTGGTGGCTTAGAGTATGATGCTTTGGTTCTGCTCTCATATTTGGTCCCGACCTACTTCTTCCTCTTCCAGCTTGCCGGTGCTATTGGAATGGGAGCTTGGATGCAGTCCAACCGGCCTGATGTAGCACTCAAGAACGGTCTTGATCCATTCTGGACAGGGAGCTTCTTCGCGATTGTAAGCGGGCCATGATCTATCTCATTTGGCTACAGCTTCTGATATGATTCCAGAGTGCCTTCAACAATTCAGGCATGGTAAGCTACACGTATGCTGCGTACACTTTATTCTGCAGCTTACTCGTGTAGGCTCTACTCGATGCGAACGCGGTCGCATTGCAGACCAGCTATTACTGCCTGCTAACATTAGGATTTCTCATCCTCGCTGGCAATACCTGCTTTCCTCCTTTCCTTCGACTTATCATCTGGACCGGTAAGGTCTGCATACCTCGATCCTGGAACGATTCCAAATGGGACAAAAGGCGGCAGGTGCTTCAATTTCTACTCGACCATCCTCGTCGGTGCTATACCCATCTCTTTCCGAGTGCGCAGACCTGGTAAGATCCAACATCTCAAACGAAGGGAAGCACACTGCTCATTGCGAATCCGCAGGTGGCTCGTCGGAACCCTCGTGGTGCTCAACGGCATTGACTGGGTGGCTTTTGAAGTTTTGAACATCGGCAACCCTGCCATAGAGTCGATCCCCACTCATTTCAGAGTTCTCGATGGTCTCTTCCAGGCTTTCGCTGTCCGAAGCGGAGGCTTCTACGTAGTCAGCATCTCTCAACTCCGTCCCGCACTACTCTGCCTCTACATCTACATGATGTACTTGAGCGCGCTCCCTGTCACACTGACCCTGCGTAACACGAACGTCTACGAGGAACGCTCGCTAGGCATCTTCGCCGAAGAAATCGCCAACACCCAAGCATCACCACCTCAACCTCCACCTCGCCGAGATTCCACATCCGAACGCCTCGCCAGCACACTAAGACGCCATATCACAGGCCAAGTCTCCACATCAGCCGACTCTCCCACCATTACCACAGCAACCACCTGGTCCCGCAGAGACTTCCTCCAACAACAACTCCGCGGCCAATTATCCCACGACCTCTGGTGGCTCGCCCTTGCCATCTTCCTCATCACCATTATTGAAACGTCCCAATTGTCCCGCGACCCCATCAACTTCTCCGTCTTCAACATCATCTTCGAGTGCGTGTCCGCCTACGGCTGTGTGGGGATAAGTGTCGGTGTGCCGTGGGATAACTACAGCTTCTGTGGAGCGTGGCACACGGGGAGTAAATTGGTGTTGTGTGCGGTCATGCTGAGAGGACGACATAGGGGATTGCCCGTTGCGATTGATCGAGCGGTGTTGGTTCCGGATCAGAGGCTGGGTTGGGCGGAGGAGGAGGATGCGGTTGCTAGGAGGAAGAGGACGCGGTCAATAGGGGGAGGAGATGCGGTTACTACTACTACTAGGAGGAGGAGTAGTGGGAGTGTGAGTAGAAATGCGTTGAGGGAGAGGGAGGGGTGAGTAGACAAGCGGAGGGAAAGTTGGGGTATGTTGATGCATTTCAGGGTTCGTATTCACTCCTTCTTCCTAGTCATTCCGATATCTGATATTGGCTGGTTAGGCGATTGCATGGTATAGATGGGAAGATGGGCTGTTAGAAATTGCATACACTTAGACGCCGCTGGGCTTATGGCCCAAGAGCTGCACTAGGGAAAAAAAAAAGCTAAGATCAAGAGGGACGACGTTCACAATCACAGTAACATGTGGTGTTTGGTTTGATGGAGAGAACCGCTGTGCAGTTTTCTGTTCTCGTGGATCCAGCGTGACACCAGAGACTGACTCAGTACTCACGACTATCCGAGTATCTATCTATGCTGTGCTGTTTGCATCCGTCGTGCTCATCGCAATCATCTGACAGACCTCAGAGCAACCATGACCCCCCGGCCTGCTCTCACCGTTCTTGTCTTTATCCATATTCGGATCCATATCCGTCCACCGAGAGAGTAAAACACCTCCTAACCTCCAGCTCGTCATTTATTATTATTATTCTTCTTCTTCTCCTTTCATAAACAACTAGCGGGACCCCTCCGCATCCGCACCTCTCTCTTCCTTTTACCACCTCGTCTTGCTGCTGCTTTTTCTGCTGGCGAGGAGGAGGAGGAGGAGGAGGGCGACCCTGGCGGACGCTGCTGCTTTTCCTGATTCTGCTGCCCACCACCATCACCACCACCAACCACAGACCGGTACGGCGTATCGTCCGGGATCGTGGCGTCTGAATCCGTGTCGGGAGAGATGGTCTTGGCTTCTCTGCTTGGATTCGAGTTGGCGAGCAGGGCGTCCTCGCGGTGGAGTTGGAGCAGGATCGACGCTGCGGCGAGGTCTTCTTGTGGGAGAGAGCTGAGTTCGGCGGCTTCGGCTGTTGGGTGGAAGGAAGGGGGAGAGAAGGTTAGTGGCTCTGCTGGCGAGGGAGGGAGGAGGGCGTGGGTGGGTTGGAGTGCTTACCGAGGAGGTATAGGGGGTTGGGGTTTGTTGGGTCTGGTTTTGGGGAGGGCCTGGATGTAGGTTGCGGGTTGGGGTGTTGGCGGATGGATTGCTCCGGCGTATTGCACTCTGGGCTCATGGTGAGTGGGTGGGTTGGTGTTAGGATACGTGGTGGCGGTGGGGTGCTTCGGTTGATGGCTGTACAATGTCCTTCTGTGGTTGCATACAGGGACCATCCGCGACCAGTATCAGAAAGTGGGAAGGACAGTGTGCGTAACTCGATGTTCCAACTTGAATTGTCGACCATGGGTTCAGTCTCGGGAGGTAAAGAGCATCTTTCCAATGGTGTCAGGGTGGCAGGGTCAGCAATGACTGGCGATGTTGATATACCACTTTCATCTCTAGGAGGAGTGGATGACATGCTCGATCAAGCTCTTTCGTTAACAATTAATCGACAGATTGAATGCTCGATATTGTTATGAAATAGTTGTAGCCACCGTGAACGGCAAAGAAGAAAACGGGCATTGTTTTCTGAGGAAAGTGTTTGCACACAAGCTATCGCCGCAGCATCCACGAATAACAAACGTGCAACTCTGTCAAGATCATGGTAAGCGTAAGAACATGTGGTTCATCCTTCTACCAGACGTATTTCCATTTTTTTGTCCTTGCCCCCATGGTCCAGCACTCTATTCAAATGACTTTGCTCAAGCTCTCTTGATGCTTCTCGTCCTTTTTCCAATCTCTCCACCCCGAGTCTGATGCTTTCCAAATGGACGGATAAAGGTATCTCCTTGCGACCTTCTAAGAGCTCAGCACTACCAACACGCTCTCTAAGCTCTTCCAATTCAGCACCCATGGCTTGCAGTCTTATGATCGTACCAGAAACATGCGCCCAAGCAATTTTGCGGTACTCTCCAACTTGGCGCAATAGCTTTAGTTGGGAGTTATATTTGCCCAGTGCAGCACGATTACCTCCAAGCAAGGTCCATAGCTGAGACAAAATCTCATCTTTCTGACCTTGAGCATGGATATTGTCGCGTAAAGTGATGCCGTGAATGACATCCAGACGGTCTTCAAGGTTTTGCAGAACATAGAGGAGGGCCTGGGCCTCAGCAATTAGAGTCTCAATCTCATCAGAGACGATTCGCGTATGCTCGATGTATTGACTGAGAAGTGTGTTTTCTGTGAATTTGAGCGGCTGAAATGGTGCGAGGAATTTGTCATGGACAAATGCTGGCAGCAGACCTCTGCTGGATTTCTTGATAGCAATATCATCAAGGACTTTTTGGGTCCAGCGGGCTGTAGCTAGTACGTTATCGACGCCTCGTCCAACATGAGAATTGAATTTCTGGAGGTCATAGGATGCAATCCGAGCAGTTTCGATGAAGCCATCAAGTTCCAGGATCATCTCCTGCTTCGAATTTAAATGGCTGAAGCGAACAATCTGCCTCAAATCTCGTATCGATGTCTCGCCTCGCTTCATATCAAGTGGGAGGGATATGCCTGCAGTGGATGCCTCAAGCACCTCTTCAAATTGGCCTTGGACATTCATGAGCTGATCAAACTCGACGGGCGCATTCGGAGTATCCTGATAGCCCTGTGGTAACGGAGTCCGGCATAATGGGAGGCCGAGCAAGGACATCCCGGGGATACGACAAACTGGCGACAGAGCAGAATAGATGGATCGAGTCAGAATATTCTGCACCATCACCATAAGACCAGCGAACAAGTACAGCGCAATAACCAACGATATCGGCTTTCGTAATGCTTTGAGTGCTCCACCAAAGACATCAAGGAACCAGTCTACGGAATATCCAAGCACAGAGAGTACTCTGTCGCTCGGATGATCCACAGCGGCGTCTTTTGAGCTCTTGACATTCCGCATCTGTGCTTGGCTAGAGCGACGTGATTTGTGATCACTTCTGGCCTCCCCAGGAAATGAAGTCGCTAATTTGGAATTGCGCTTTCGAGGCGAAGTGACGGCTTCTGGGCGCTCCTTGGTGCTGGTCCAAGACCCTTCGACTTGACCTTGATGTATAGATGGCATAACCAACTCGGGTTCAGGTGCCGCAGATGATGTGCGCGAAGATCGCCGGGGCTGCCTGGTTTGAGTGACGATGCGATGGTTTTGCGACCTGTTCCTTTGACGTCTAGCAGGCTCTTCTGGCGTGGTAGGAGGGTCTTCATCTGGACTCGACTCATCCTCATCGCTGTCATTGACCACCCAAGAATCACCAAGATCTGATCCACCAGATGAGCGGTGCCGCGACGCAGCCATCAAGACCATTGTGGTTGCGTAACGAAATCAAGGGAGGACGGAGTCGCAAACGGAGAGAGGACAGAGCTATTGACTTTGAACTGCAACAAGAAGAGCTCACTTTCCAAGGAGACTGAGATTAATTAGCAATTTATGGTGAACACTATGAACAGCGAATTCTATCCAAAAAGTATGACTAGGGCTGGGCACCCAAGGATATGTTGTCACAGTTTTGCCTGTGAAACACTTCCACAGCTTGGCTGCCAGATTCTAAGAACCTGTTTGGTTATTCTGGGCGCGTGGAATGGATGCCTGAGGTCGCGTCCAGGGTCATTCGGTCCAACATCATTCATCAAGCTTGGCGCCTGCCAATCTGTCCCGAACGGGAAGCATACGTAGTAAGAATGAATCACTGTACATAGAACATCATTTCTGTCTCGAACGATATCTTAGCTGCTTATATGTATAGAACCCGATGAAAGACCCTGCCCGCAGTAACACTAAGAAGCCAGCTCCCAGCCGTCCATCGTTCAGATCAGGAACAGTACGCCTCTCGACACATTTCTCTCGCAGAAAATGAATAATATTATACAGTAATCCTTAGAACTGTGCCGCAGATCATAACGTTGACATCACAGTTGGTCTTGAGCATGCCGCTATGGAAGCGAGCGGGAAATGCTGAATGGTTGATGAATCGCTTTCGGGGGATTGATATCCAACCAGTCCCAATCTCTATCCTGCGCATCAAAAGCATGTGTCACTTCGATGTGGTCGTCCGATGACTTTTCCATTGTGCGTGGGAGAGGTCGCGGACTGGGCGGTGGTCCTATATCTCTTTCTAGGTTGGTACCTCCACCTAGTCTCTGTAATTCGGTCTTGAAGTCGTCCAACATGATGTTGTCTGTGAGACACTTGAAAATCAAGGCTAGCTTCCAGTACGGATTAATACTGTCGGACAGGCGGAAGTCAGCAGGATTCCCCACTCCGAAATTGATTGTTCTCACCCATTCACAACTCCTCGGACCTGCGGAATCAAGGTCGCGAATGTGTCCATGAGAGTAAAAACTATGGAAAGGCATATGGCAGCGAGGAGGATGCCGAAACGAGGACATCGAGCGATCAAAGCAAACACGGAAGAGCCGTAGCATTTCCGGATAACGTGGAAGAGGGCGAGACAGGTAAATATCCACCAGGGATCTCTAAAGAATGCGTCAGTTTCATTTCTAAAGTTAGAGTTGAACCTCCGCGAAGAGGATGCCGAGCGAGAAGACAGGAGCTTACTAACCTGAAAAGAGGCTCGGCTGGCCGGATCTTGTTGTACATTTCGCTCTTGTTATTAAAGAACAGAAAGTTGTTCACAATCTGGAAAATCATCGGGGGTATGGTCAGGGCCAGCGTGGTGAGGTATACCCTGCGCACAATCTTGGCCGTCCTGGGCTGGAATAGAGATCGCGGTTCGACGAAGAAGGGTCTGATCTTGACCCATGCCACGATATTGTGGAGGAAATATGAGCAGTATAACAATGCTGCTGTGGATGAGAGGTACCAGCCATAACCTTCGAAGGCCATGAAGCAGAAGGTTCCGTGTGTGATAGCGAGCAACAGCTGGCCAAAGAGGGTCAGCAGAGCGGTCACTGACCCAAATCCGCGACATACCTCGAGAAGGATCAACTTGTGAAGCAAAACCCCTCTTCTCATATTGGCCACAGTTACGCAGGACATGATCATCAATGCTCCGACCATGCAACCCTCGCTCCACGCCTCCAGTATGAATGCATCGTCTGTAGCACGAGTGCGCCAGCTGCCAAAATTTCTCTCTGTCTGCCGATAAACAAGACGAGAGCTGATCGTCTCAGTAGGTGCCATGGCGTATTCCGATCAGGAGGGCCACGACCATCGCTGTAATCGCAGGTACAAGACAGCTTGTCTGTTCGGACAGAGAGGCCGAGCGTGCCTTCTTCACGATTGAGACATTTCGACGTTGCTGGTGGTCGTCTTGGTGAAAGACCTTGGATGCCAGGATGGTGGTTCGAGGCTGTGGAAGCACATTCTTCCCTCGTGGTCCACCACGGGCTCGGCTATGGGTGAGTTGGGGGTCCCGGAGCATTGTGCATCCTTCTCCATTGCCACCGCTGATGCCAAGGCCGGCCAAGTACAAGGCCCTAAACTGGGGGCACGGACGGAGCAGATTGTGGGGATGGCAGTGACACGACTGGACAAGCTGGATGTCCCGCGGCACGTTTCCGTTCACCAATAGTATCTCGTGACACCATGCAAAACGAGGCTAACGCACTCGTATTCCTCTTCCTGCGTAATGCACTAATAGCAATTCGTTCCATGGAAGTCGACGACACTGCCAGGCTTGATTGATTGGTCCAAAGCTCGAACGCCCATGTACGGTATGCCGTCCCGTACGGAGCTATGATTGGTAAAGATGTTTAGCTCGCAACGTCTCTAACTTGCAGTACAGTAGGCTTTTACTAATGGTTTGCTAATGGCCATCGCATATTTTGCCAAGCCAAGAAGCGAAGTGTCTTTACTGGTGACGGAAGGTACGAGTTATGGTATGTCTGATATAGACAAGGGGCATCTGGCGAATTGGCAAATCTCGTCGATTCGAGGGAATTCCGTAGGATGGATTCAGATACACAAAAAGACGGTAGCTGACCTCGCAGACTCGCTGTGCGAATGTGATACGAACTAGGCTCTACAAAGGATGTGCTCCGTACCGAGTCCTCTGTCAGGTTTGGTTGCTACATAGTAAGTCAATTCATAGCCTTGCTTTGTCGCCCTTTCCATTTGACATCCATCGGTTTGGGTGAGCTTCGAGGGCATCATATTGCACGGAATCTTTGAAACGGGGTATTCTCTTCTCTACGAAGCTACTGATGGGCTCCTCCTTGTCCTTGCTGCCAAACAATGAGTGTATCAACCGTGAATCCAGTAGATGGGTAGCCTCGGCAGAGTCCGACCCTGAAACATCAGATTATGCATCAACCGGGTACTCACTGTACTACAAAGCAGTATTCCTTGCGATGTCATCTGCCACGTCCAAAGTCCGCTTGACCGTTGCTTCGGGAGTCGACAGGACTTCTGAGAATAGATCATGTAGTAAAGGATGATCTGCCTGATAGACTGAGCCCGTTGTAACGAGACTGAGAGCTCGATACACCCCAATCATTCGTGGCAGAAAACAGGATGAGCAAGCTTCAAGGATCAAGCCTCTGCGAGCAAAGACCAGTCCAATCGTCTGCTTGCTCATGAGTGATTCCTAAGCATGCTGGAAGTGTCATCGTGATTCCCACTGACACTGAATCAGCAGAAGCAACGTACTGCGGTCAGCTAGCATTTATCACCTACGGCAGAATCATTGATAACAGCCATTGTGGGTTTGAACATGGGGAGGTCTCAGATCAGGGACACGACAGGATGCAATCGACTTGTGCTACATACTGCGCAGCTACAAGGTTGCTCCCAGCTTGCGCGGCGGGGCTACCCTTGAGCTCTCAAAAGAAAGGCCACTAACTAGTTAGTAGTCCTGTAGAGCTACGTAGTACATATGCCCCAAGCATGCTTCCGTAATCACTAATGACACTTTCGGCTTATTGGTGCATAGCATCCGCAGCCTTCCGTGTTTTCTTTCGTTGTGTACAGGTACTCTATACAGAGTATTCGCTCTCCCTATCGAGCAATGAACATTGCCCGTCCACTGACCTTCTATGTTCCACAACATCGCCTTGCAATCCGGACGCTGGCCTGCACAGAGACCTCGAGCTTCCAAGCATCTCCTGCTGGCAATCGACTGCGAGGCTTAAGACGACATTTTGCGAGCTCTTGTGACAAGATGGCACCAACTACGAAGCAATATGATTATATAGTCATTGGAGGAGGCAGTGGGGGCTCTGGTGCCGCGAGAAGAGCCTCCGGGTGGTATGGAGCAAAGACGTGCATAATCGAGAATGGTAGATCTGGAGGCTGCTGCGTCAATGTCGGGTGAGCCACGCACGAATCTTTCTTTGCAATCACAGTTTGACGGTTCACAGCTGTGTGCCGAAAAAAATGACCTACAACATGGCTCAGATCAATAGAGCACTGAGAAATGGGCGCCATTATGCCTACGACATTCCAGAGAACACACCATTTGATTTTGGGGCTTTCGTGGAGAAGCGAGACGCGAGGATCGAGGCCTTAAACGGCATCTATGAAAGCAATTGGGCTAAGGAAAATATTGAGTTGATCCATGGCAAAGCCACATTCTTGTCGCCGCACGAGATCCAGGTTGATATGAAGGATGGCAGTGGGACAGTGACGTTGACGGCCCCTAAGGTCTTGATCGCCACAGGAGGCTACCCCTTGAAGCCAACGAATATCAAGGGTGCAGAATACGGTATAACTTCAGACGATTTTTTCTCGATGAAAAAGTTGCCCAAAAAGTATGTCTTGGTCGGTGCGGGATATATTGCAGTCGAGATGGCTGGCATGTTAAATGCCCTTGGCGTCGAAGTGCATATGTTCTTGAGGCAATCGAGGTTTTTACGGAAATTTGATCCTATGATCCAGGATACTATGACCAAGCATTATGAGGATGCCGGAGTGATCATCCACAAAAATCACCCTGATATCAAAGAAGTGGTGCAAGTCCAGGCAGCCACGTCCGAGTCGGATCCCTCGTCAAAGCAGCTAAAGCTAATCCATACCGATGGCTCAGAGTTCGAATGCAACGAACTATTATGGGCTATTGGTCGGGCACCTGAAATACAGGACCTTGACGTCAAGAGGATTGGCATGGAACTTGGGAAGAAAGGTCATATCGTGGTCGACGAATACCAGAATACTTCCATACCTGGCATTTATGCCATCGGTGACGTTACGGGTCAGGCGGAATTGACCCCAGTTGCTATTGCAGCCGGTCGCAAGCTAGGGGACCGTCTCTTCGGACCTCCCGAGCTTAAAAATTCGAAGCTCGATTACAATCGTATCCCGAGCGTGGTCTTCAGTGAACCGAATTGTGGTGCCACAGGACTGACTGAGCCTGAAGCCATCGACAAATATGGGAAGGACCAGATTAAGATCTATCATACCAAATTCAGAGCAATGTTTTACGATGTTTTTTCGGAGCCAGAACGGAGTCAGAACCCGACGGAGTACAAAGTTATCACTGTTGGCAAGGAAGAGGAAATCGTGGGCATGCATCTGATAGGGGATGAGGTCGCTGAAGCTATGCAAGCATGGGGGGTTGTTGTTAAGATGGGTGCCAAGAAGCGCGATTTGGACAGCTGTATCGCTATCCACCCTACTTCGGCGGAAGAATTGGTCACCTTGAAATGATTCAGGTTCCGAGCAGTGAGAAATCGACCTACCAGCAAGGTTAAAGGTGAACGTATAGGGGTCTAGCATCTGTCACGTCACAGCGCTCGAGCTTTTGATCTCTTTCCAATGACAGAAACTATAACGACCATGGATTGCTGGGTAAGCCCCCAGTCTAGAAGTTATCTTCTGCAGACACTTCAAACTACCTGGGAAATTGATTAGCCACCAGGCACTTTCTGCTTCTAACACCAGCCTACGGTCGTATCCTGCGACAAAGCATGCAATTTCATCATTATGCAGATCCTTGTGAGATGAAGTGCCAACCCTTTTCCTTGAATTCTTGTCATGCTTGCTCCCTGTCAAACTCTTCTCCCTCCAGAATAGCAGTTATCATATCAGGAGGTGCTGACTAGATGAAGCCTGAATGTTTTGCTTGCGGTACTGGATCTTGTCTGCTGAGTTTGGCGTGTGGAATTTGCCTGTTTGTCGACCGTATGTTACAAACTGCATAATTTTCCATCGCTACTTGCAGTGATCAATCAAATTAGCAAACGTGCGACGGTGCTATCATGGCTTCAGTATATATGTTCTTCACAATATCTGGAGTTCGAGCCTTTCCAAACTTTCAATACTCTGTCACCTCATATTCGCCTTGGCTTTTGGTCATGGCACCCCTCGACAAGGGGAAAGGGAAGGCTGGGTTAGACGCCGAATATCTCCCAATCCAAGAGGCTCCTCCTCCACCACCCCCATTGTCAGAGCAGCGAAGGAAACAGGCATCCAGAAGACAGACTGAAGAACAGAAAACTGATGATCATGACCCAGAAGACGATGAGCCTCTTCCACAACGCCCAAGCACTGGCAAAGAAGGTCAGAGCACACAATTGGACGCCAACTATTTCGCGATTGATCTGGGCAAGACCGATGCCATTTACGTCTACAGTCTCTCTTTCCTCAGAGGTTATGACCCAGGTAGCAAAAGACGTGAACGACGAGTCCTTCAATTGCTGTTGGACCAATATCCAGCATGTAAAAGTGCTGCCACAGATTACCGTGAACGTCTGGTCAGCATAAAGCAGCTTACAGAGAAGAACTTGCCTAGGACGCTTGAGGTGTTTTACCATGAAATAGGCGATACACCTGTTCACGGTGCCGACGCACTCAAATACTATGTTACGGTCAGTTACCTGAAGAAGCTCGAATTAGGATCTCTGCATGACTACCTAGGCGGGAGCAGTTCAGGTAGCCAATACACTGCCAAAGATGAGACTGTCGCTGCTTTGAACCTACTTCTGGGTCGACACACGAACCAATCGACCCATGTCAGCAAGATCGGAAGAGGTAGAGTCTTTGACCAACGGACAACTCAGCCTCTGAGGGCACCACTCCGTGGGGGCCTCGAGGCAGCGGTTGGATTTGAGAAAAGTGTGCGTATTGCAAGAGCAGGACTTCTGCTCAATCTCAATGCAGCAACATCTGCATTTTACGTGCCACTACGAATGGACGAATTGATCAAGCAATGGACCGACGAAGCATGTCCCCGTAACTATCGGGAAAACAAGAATGCTTGGCAGGTTCAGCACCTTGTCAAACTTGAAAGGTTTTTGAAAGGGCTGCAAGTCAGGGCGACATACGCACCACGACGCTTTCATTCTGTTTGGGGGATCGCGCGGGCAAGTAATGGCTCGAATCGGCCGATCCCCGATCAAGTGATGTTTGACCTTGAAAAAAAAGATGAGCATGGCAACGCTATCTCAAGCGAATCAATCACAGTCTTCGAATATTTCAGACGGAGTAAGTATCCTTCGGTGGAGTTAGGTAGTGATTTTGACGGGTAACATAGAACACGGAATCCGGACTGCGACTGACTGCCTGGTCGTCGATGTGGGGTCTCAAGACAGATCGATCTTCATTCCTGCGAATCTCTTGGACGTACTTCCTGGTAACTTCTACCGTCACGTCCTTCTTGGTGCACAGCAGTCAACTATGATCCAATTCGCTTGTCGTCCAGCAAGAATAGCGAATTCACCCACCCCCAATCATGGCTTGATCACCAATTCTGGTGTTCCCATGCTAGGGATTAGGGCTCAGCGTCCCCTAAATGGACCGGTAATAGCAGAGGTGCCGGTTGAGGAAATAGATGCTGACCCGACTTCTAGTACGATGGTTTCGGCTTTAATGTCGATTTGCATATGCTCAGGATCGACGGCCGCTACTTGACGGCACCAGTTCTGCAATACCGCCAATACAATGCAGGCGGCCCAGTGGAAAATCGTACAAAGATCTTACTAAGCGATGCTACAAAGCACGGGGCTTGGAAAATACATGATTGCGCACTCGCCCTCAGCGCCAAGCGCCACAATTGGTCGTGGATCGAATTCACCAAAGGTCCACCGTGTGATGAAGTCCAGCGACAAGTGTTTCTCAATGCTATCGAGGATGGTTATAAGAGGTACTGCTCGTTCGACAATATAGAACCATGGGATCATCCTGACGGTCTTTCATCTCACATCCTCCCATACCCCGATGGCAAACTTGAGGAACAAAAGAAAACTCTCCAAGAGTTTCTCAATAAATTCAAAGTCAATGTCGACTTTCTCTTTGTTATCCTTCCTGAGAAGAGCATTCCACAGTACGCGATGCTGAAGTTGGTGGCCGACACACTCGTAGGCATTCAGACTACCTGTGTGGTGAAAGAGCCCCAGTGGGAGAAAGAAGAAGAGGGGACTCAAGGCCAGCCATCGACCAGTGAGCGAGGCAATCAGACAAGCAACCAGGGAAATAATCCACGTGGCCGTCAGCAAGGTTACCAGCAGCGGTCACGGCCAGGCCAACAGCATCGAGGTCGCCCGCATCAAGGTCATCCGCATCAGGGTCACCAGCATCAAGGTCGCCCGTATCGAGGTAGCCCGCATCAAGGTCGCCCGCATCAAGGTAGCCGGCAGGGTGATCAACAGCTCACGATAAAAGAACAAGCTCGAGCCTACAGAGGGAAAACACAGATCAAATGCAAACCCGAGGTGATCGCGAATATCATGCAGAAAGTGAATGTGAGGCTCCGAGGCACTAATACCGTCTTGGCCAATGCTAAAGATCCGAAATTGTTCACACCCGAGACCATGGTCGTTGGAGCTGATGTTACGCATCCAGGTGTGGGAAGCCTGGATAAGTGTCCCTCAATTGCGGCTGTGGTTTGCAGTACTTACACGTCTTTCAGTCATTACACAGCATCACTGCGATGCCAGGGAAGCAAAGTGGAGCGCATTGAGAAGTTCACCGAGATGCTAGTCGAAAGACTGGAGTACTGGAAAGCCAAGTCTGGAGCCAAGTCTGGAGGCAAGTCTGGAGCCAAGTACCCAGAGCGCTTGGTTATCTTCCGAGACGGGGTGAGCGAAGGACAATTCCAGATGATACTGAAACAAGAATGGCCGCAGATCCAGAAAGCTTGCCGGGAGACCTACGCCAAAGCTAAACAGCAGTTCCCAAAGATACTACTGATGTGTGTGTTGAAGGTGAGCACATCCTTGCGTGGATCCCGACCGATGAGTTTGGGGCCCTCTTTAGGGAGCCAGACTGACATAGGACAGCGGCATGCCACTCGTTTCTTTCCCCGCTCTGAGGACGATCGAGACGTGCTCGGAAACCCCAAGTGCGGCTTAGTTGTGGATCAGGGCGTCACCTATAAAGACGGCTACGACTTCTATCTCCAGAGCCATGCGGTGATTAAGGGTACGGCACGTCCTGCGCACTATGTCGTCTTGGTAGATGAGCTGAATCTGGCTCCGGACATCGTTCAGCGCGAGGTGCGTGGCTCCCAACCATTCGCATCATGAGTACATGCCCAGCTGACATTGGCAAAACAGACATACCAGCATTGCTTCTTGTACGGCAGATGTAACCGCGCGATCGGGATACACCCGGCTGCTCGCCTTGCAGATCGAGCATGTGATCGTGGCCGGAAATATCTTCAGCATGTCTTTTCACCCGAAAACGACAGGCAGCGGACCTTCGACCGGGCTACGCCTGAAGACCGCGGCGCGTGGATTCAGGATGTCCATGACGATCTCAAGAATGAAATGTTCTTCCTATAGCGGCGGATTGTGCAGCTTTCTGTCTTCTGGATCAGAAGGGAATGTGGAGAGTTCTTTTATGTGTTGATGCTTGAAATCGTGTATTGTTCTCCCTATCGTCCAACTCGAAAGATGTCTCTCTTTTACAGTCTCGACTACCGTCTCGTTTGTCAGCTCAGACTTCGTTGTTCTACTGTTGTGGCAGACCGAGCGTGCTTTTTGCATTTCCATAGATTGGCTTTTTAGATGTACTTCTCCATAGAACGAGTTTGCTTTTCTTACTTGACAGACCGGGTGACAGCACCACCACCACCACCATAGACTACGCTTCGCCCATAAGCATTTCAACACGCAAAGACGAGTAGCTGAGGTGTAATGAAAGACTAGTATCACGCTGGGACAAGAAAATGAGGTAGGTTGGGAGTAGGTATAGACAGCGGTTACAGGCCTAGCCTTGAGATCGAGGATATAAAGCCTATGGCGTGGCGTAGACTTTCTCGACTTAGCATGCACTAACAGCCTACTGGGATGAAAAGCGTTTCCACGTGATTGAGAAACCTGAAGCGTAGATGGAGTCCTCCAATGATATACCAAGCCATAGAGTTGTGGAGTTCTCCAGAACACTACATATTTGACTAGGGGGGTGGGGGGAATCGAAAGGAGCCAAAACCTCGCAGAATGTACGAAATGTCATCCTAGACCCATGCAATGAATGGTCATAGAGGAAGTTGCCATTGGATATCCTAATTGGGGAAGAGCTAAAGGTTGCGCAATCGGGAATCAGCATGATTGATGCTTTGGAGGAAGCATACGTGGGACTTCTCGTGTATCCCGGATCTCGGCAGCAGGCTGGAGGCATCGGGTACTGGTGCTGTTTCGCTTGACTGTAAATATAGACAGACAGACTGTACGTAGTACATGGTGTGAGAAGATAGGAAGTACGCAGTAATCAATCAATCAATCAATCAATTATCGGATGATGAAACATGTTTGATGCCAAGCGTTCTCCTGAATCGGTCTGGCATTTCCGCCCTCAGCCGGACCAATGGGGGGGGGAGCATCAAGATGCTTGGTGTGATTGTGCGATGATTGACGTGAGTTTCAGCTCCTGTCCTCCACCACCACATTCGTGGACGAGGTACCCGCTGTCATTCTGGCTTGCGTCGACTCTCGCCCCCAACGGCCACAGTAATTCGCCTTCGCGTGCAGAATTACGTTTCGGTCACGACACAATGCGTCTCGGGCTGAGATCTTGTGATGTCAGGCTCAAATTGCTTCTCCATGTTTGAAGCTTATGTTCCGAGCTCCCACAGGCAAACCAGTTCATACTCGTAGACTTATAGTAACAGGCCGCCATTTAGGCCCAACTTCTGTTGCGCAGCTGTTCTTTTTCCAGCTTGTACTTGGACTGTTCGTGACCAAAAGTACGTTTTGTTCATTGGGCCTCCCTTCTCTCATTTCTGTTGGAGTAATCGAAGTCACCCCAAAAGCATTGTACGGCATACGGCGTACGGCATACGCTTCCCGCAGCCATGTCATCACCATCAGGATCTCCAACTCCTGCTTCAATCGCCAGGCCCACCAAAAGAGCCTCCCCAGCATCATCGGACACAAGCGTCTGTACCCCTACTCTGTCATTAGAGAGATCAGGATCCTCGGCCCCAGCATCATCGGACAGAGGCTTCTCTACCGCTGCACAATCATCACAGAAGTCGCCAAGAGCCAGACCTCCATCCAGACCTCCGCAGGCCACCAGGAAGGAACCTACAACCTCAATCGAGCGAAACAGTCCTATCACCAGGAGTACCGCTTACCCCTCCTCCTCCTCCTCCTTCTCCTCATCCTCCGCCTGTTCCCCAAGCGCAGCCGGTACATCCCACGCCCGCGAACCCCCCAGCTCTCGCCAAATCCCCACGCGCGACGCCAAAACGACCACCACCTCGCACGACGCCGAACAGATCCGCGACCAACTCCTGCACGCCAAATGCACGCTCCTGATCTACCAAACCTCGCTCAGCCAAGCGCACCCGGGCACCGACACCAGCGAGCTACGCCGGCAGATCGCCGCGCAGGAAGCGCGCATCGACGGCCTCACGCGCCGCTTCGACGCCGCCGTGCTCCAGGACGAACGCGCCAACCGCGCCGCGCCCTACGGCCTGGAGAAGCGCATCGCCGAGATCATGCGCAAGCATCGCGACCCC